CAGCGACCGCATAACTGCGCACGCTGCACCGATCCGCCTGTCAATCTCACGCTCCATTCTTCCCTCACTCGTGAACAAGACCCCGAGATACTTGAACTCCTCCACTTGAGGAAGGACCTCTCCACCCACCTGAAGAGGGCAAGGCACCTTTTTCCGGTCGAGCACCATGGCCTCGGATTTGGAGGTGCTGATTCTCATCCCAGCCGCTTCACACTCGGCTGCAAACCGCCCCAGTGCATGCTGCAGGTCCTGGTTCGTTGGAGCCAACAGGACAACATCGTCCGCAAACAGCAGAGATGAAATCCTGTGGTCTCCGAACCGGACCCCCTCCGACCCCTGGCTGCGCCTAGATATTCTGTCCATGAATACAGTGAACAGAACCGGTGACAAAGGGCAGCCCTGTCGGAGGCCAACATTCACCGGGAACAGGTCTGACTTACTGCCGGCAATGCGAACACAGCTCTGGCTCCGGTCATACAGGGACCGGACGGCCCTCAGCAGAGGACCTCCGACCCCGTACTCCCGGAGAACCCCCCAAAGGACACCCCGGGGAACACAGTCGAACGCCTTCTCCAAATCCACAAAGCACATGTGGACAGGTTGGGCGAACTCCCATGAACCCTCGAGTATCCGATGGAGAGTATAGAGCTGGTCCAGTGTTCCGCGACCGGGACGAAAACCACACTGCTCCTCCTGGATCCGAGATTCGACCATCGGCCGTAACCTCCTCTCCAGTACCTTGGAGTAGACCTTACCGGGGAGGAGTGTGATCCCACGATAATTGGAACACACCCTCCGGTCCCCCTTCTTGTAGAGAGGGACCACCACCCCGGTCTGCCACTCCATTGGCACTGCCCCCGATCGCCACGCGATGTTGCAGAGACGTGTCAGCCAAGACAGTCCTACAACATCCAGAGACTTTAGATAATCAGGGCGGATCTCATCCACACCCGGAGCCTTGCCACCATGGAGCCTACCAACCACCTTGGTGACCTCAGCCAGGGAGATGGATGTATCCGCCCCAACATCCTCAGCCTCTGCCTCTGTAACAGAGGACGTGACGGGGGGATTGAGGAGAACCTCAAAGTATTCCTTCCACCGCCCGACAATATCCCCAGTCGAGGTCAGCAGCTCTCCACCCGCACCGTACATGGTGCTGGCAAAGAACTGCTTCCCCCTCCTGAGGCGCCGGATGGTTTGCCAGAATCTCTTCGAGGCCGACCGATAGTCATGCTCCATGGACTCTCCGAACTCCTCCCAGTCTCGGGTTTTTGCCTCTGCAACAGCCCGGGCCGCGGCACGCTTGGCCTGCCGGTACTGGACAGCTGCCTCAGGAGTCCCCCGAACCATCATGGCTCGATAGGACTCCTTCTTCAGCCTGACGGCATCCCTTACTGCCGGTGTCCACCACCGGGTTCGGGGGTTGCCGCCGGGACCAGCACCAGAGACCTTGCGACCACAGCTACGAGCCGCCGCATCGGCGATTGAGGCAGAGAACATGGTCCACTCGGACTCCATGTCCCCCTCCTCCGCCGGGACCTGGGAGAAACTCTCCCGGAGGTGTGAGTTGAAAGTCCGTCTGACAGGGGGCTCAGCGAGACGTTCCCAGCAGACCCTCACTATACATGTACGCTTGGGTCTGCCAGGTCTGACCGGCTTCTTCCCCTGCCAGCGGATCCAACTCACGGACTGGGTCGCCGAGGTCTCCGCCTTTGACTGCCGCCCAGTCCTCTCAGCACCGCTTTAGGACTAAAAATATGTACAATAGGTCTGGCATGTGCCTCCTGTACTGGCACCCCCACTCCCAAAAATAACTATTGTAAACCGCTTTGAGACTCCGATGTGCAGTGAAAAAAAAGATTACTTAATTCATAAAATGTATAAATGTATAAATTCTAAATCCTTTGGAAAACTGCCTGAAAGGACATTTGTAAACATTTCTGGACAGTGGTCATCTCTGCCCCTTATGGACCAATGGCTCCTATGTGTCCTGTGTTTGTACGGACAATATAAACAATCTTCACCTGACCCACATGTTAGCAACAGGTTAGCTAACTGTTTGGTTTGATAGCGCTCTAAATTCACACTAAGTTCATATGAAAAACACCTCGGTAAAAAGACTAGGTCACAAAGCGTGTTAAATACTGTGTTGTTTCGACCCACCAGCCTGTGTAACTCAGTGCGTCCCGTTTTTGCACAAAGACGAACCTTTAGTTTGCCATTATTCCAGTTTACGATCCAAAATTGGACGATATTACTCGGATTTTCTTAAGTTAACTGTAAATACTGCATAATTATTGCTCAAATATGTTCAAGCTCAAACTAGAATTTCAATTTAAAGTCATTTCCAGTTTCGGGATAACATTTAAAAATCCATAAATCCTTATAGCTAACAGTACATTCATTTGCAATTTTGTACATTTTAAATTAAATTCTACTCAGTTGCTGTTTGCACACGCCTGGAGAAGTTAAGAAATGGACTCAAGCCAAGAAAATGCAAGAAATTTTAAGCTTATATTTGACCATTTTTGAGCGAAAACGACCATACAAACACACAACTACTACTTTTTCCAACTTATTTCCTCCGTCTTTTCCCTGATGGCCCCACAGTATGGCTTCAGTCCTCAATCCTATTCAATCTTCCGCTTCCTACCTCCTAGCTCCTCCCTCCTCGCCTCCTAGCCTCCTCCAACCTTCTCCCCTCTGTCCCATTAGCCTCCCAGTATTCACTGCTCCGACCTGGGACCCCTCGTCTCCAAACCAAGGCTCCCGTCCGGACAAAAAAACCCTCCAAAAACCTCCTCGGGAACGTTTTCTCATTCCTACAGTTTCCACAATTTCTTTCACACTTCAGCCACTTTCAAGTCTTTCCGTAAGTTCTTCTTTTTGGGCAATGTTTTCTTGGGTTTCCCTCTCTTTCGGAAGGAGAGAGTTGGGATATTTCTGTGTGTATTGAACCGTGGACGAGGAAAAACCTGGACCATCCCGAGCTGAATTTGAACATATTTGAGAAAGCTTGCGTTTTTGACTCATGTGTGTGTAAGTCCCATGTTTTCAAACTTGCGACACAATTTCTGCCTTTTTTTAATTCGGGATTTAAATCTAGAAAAGGCAGACCATTTGAAAAGTGCGTTAATGTAATCGTATAAGAGACTGGACTGTCGATTCTTTGTCGCTGCAGTTTTACTCAATCATTTCTATGGATTTCTTGAATTTGAAAAACTAATTCCCGCATTTTGATGTAAAATTCATTGGGAAAACTGCTATTATTCTAGTTTACAATCCAAACATGGACGAATTCACATGTATTTTCTTACTTTAACTTAAACTAGAGCTTGATTATTGCCTAAATATATTCAAACTCAGACTAGAATTTTAATTTTAAGTCATTTCTAGTTGGGATCACTTTTAAAAATTCTTATATAACTCACAAAACACAGTAACCATACACTGTTATTCACAAATATTCTTCAGCAATTTCGTACATTTTCAATTCAAGTTTTTCCCCCTTGTTGTTACTTATAATTTAAATCAAAACCAGGTCTGGCGAGATCAAAAGCTTACAACTAATAGGAGACAATTACATGAGAGAGATTAAAGCAAGTTTTTTTTTAGTAGCGACTTGAGAAAACTTCTGGGTGTAATTTATTAGTCACTCACTGTACGTACATTAGTATTAGTCAATAATACAGTTTGGCACAGTCCAGACCGAGGCCTAACCACGCCAACTGTGTCTGGCTCCACATTCTCATTCATTCATATTGTTTGCACGTGTCTTTGCTCAGACGTAGCAGTAAAATAGATGTTAAATATATTTACATAACGTGAAAGATTTGGCGTCGTCCGTAGAAAGAAAAAGAAATCCAAGCAGAAAATATATACAATTATAGACAATATTATTAATAATCTTAACTGCGTCATTTCTATCAAAAGAAACGCACTTTGAAACCCCCGCACGCGTGTATTTAAATGATAGCTTTTATAATCATAATATAGGATTGCGTCATAACTGCGTCTTTACGTTATTTGCGTAAAAGTACATTTTTTACGCACGCGATTGTCCCTGTCTCTGATTGGCCTTTTACAACAACTCCCGTGTCTTTCCAGGCCACATTCAAGAACTAATAATTCTTAAATATTTTCTTAAATATTAGGTTTTTTTAATGGAATAATCTCAGCCGCTTCTGAAACGATCCATTGACGTTTTATGTATTTACGTGTCCTCGTGCACGTGCATATGTCTTAGTCCAATTTAAATATTATTTTCTTTACGTTTACTTTTTACCTCTCAATGTATTTGACTATAACTATTTGCTTATATTGAATCACTGCGTTGGTTTGTCATTGTAAAACTTATAAATAAATAAATAAAAAATATTAAAACAAAAATACATTTAACGTTTACTATTGCTGCAGTATTTGATATACTTTTACACACTGTTGCCCTGGACACATTTTTAAGCAACTTTATCTTGTATAGTTTTTTTGTATAGCACAGTTCAGACAACGTTTTAAGCATATTTGAAATAGTATTAAAATAAGTCCGTTATTGTTAAACAGATACATATAAATATATATTAAGTTTAGCATTGCATATTTTTGCTACTTTTACGCGCCCCTTGGACAACTTTTCCGCTTTCCACTCGTATAGTTTAATTGTATAGCACAATTAAGACAACTGTTGAAGCTTTCTCTTGCCTAGTTTAAATACCTTTTAAATACTTATATTATTGTTAAACATATATAAACATATGTATAGTTTTTTGTATAGCACAACTCAGGCAACTCAAAAGTGCTAAAAACATCATAAATATTCACGCAAAATTAATTTAAAATACATATAGTTAAAAGACGAGCTGACGTAATCTTGACGCAATGACGTGGTCCGCGTTTTAGACCTGAGCTCGTAGAGGATATTTGAACTTTGTGGAGTTTTTTGGGGGGTTTGTTTTTGTTTTTAACGCACGCGCTTTTGGAGGGGCCCGCGCGCCTTGGAGCTGATGACCAAACCGCTGCTAGACGCGAGCTTCCTGTGGGACATGGAGGAGGTGGGACTACAGACCTCCTCCACTCCCTTCTCCGTGAAAGACATTTTAAAGTTAGAACAACAACAACAACAACAACAGCAGCAGCAGCAGCAGCACGAGACCCAGCTGCAGAGATGTTTCCCTGCGTGCGCGCTCCCGTCTGTCGCGCTGCAGGGGACGCTTCCTCACGACGTGGACGCGCCCGAGGACAACCTGGCCTACCTAAGCGCGCTCACGAGGGGTCACGGGGGCGAGCAGGAGCAGCGGGATCTGTTCACGTCTCCATCATCATCATCATCAGCAGCAGCAGCAGCAGCAGCAGCAGCAGGGAGAGAGGAGGAGGCGAGAGGGGACATGGACGAGCTCGACCCTGGTGAGTGAGAAACTATAAGATAAACTATTACATATATATATTTTTAGTTTGTTTTTAAAAAAATCTTTATTCATTCATTTTATTTCAATATTTTGTATTTCACGTGTGGAATATTTTGTCTAATTTCCACAGACGTCAAAGTTGCACATTTTCCCACTTGAGCTTCTTCCTAATTTTTCCTCACATTTTCTATATTTTGATTTAAACTCAATTCAATTATATGTATTTGTGTATTGCTCTAAATCACATCAGAAGTCATATAGGAGGAAAGTTGCCGATTCCTCAACAGCAGAATCAAAAACAAAACAGATAGGAGTCATTGGTCCAGAGGGAACGGGATGATCACGGTCCCTAAGTATGAATACATGTCCTTAAATGTTAATAAAATGTCCTTAAATGTTAATAAAAGTCCCGGATCCTTTGACCCTCCTGCATCGACAAGGAACTATACTCAAAAATGAAAAACAAAAAAAACAGTAGCAGAAAAGTGAGAAACATTGGGGAGGCCTATATCCAGAAGTCAGGCTGTAGAACGAAGACTGAGGCTGTATACAATACATTAGAAATATAGATACAAAAATAACATAAAAGAAAAATCATCTACCTTATTGTCAAAACCATATATTTACCATTTATGAATAAGCTTTTTTTGGACACAAGATCAATAGAAATGACAAGAGACAGAAGGTGCTTTTTATTGTCCTTCGATCCAAAAAATGAAAGAACAACGCTTTTTGTGCAAACTTTTAATGCAGGAAAAGTGAGAAGAATTCCACGTCACGCGGGCTCGTGTTTTACGCATTAAAACATGTGGTGATTTTTGGGGTATTTTAAAACAAATTTACTTTTTACATCACTTCAAATCATGTCATTTCATTACATTGCAACCCACGGAGATGTGACGTATTCATTACTGCAATATTCACGCTCTCGGGGGCTCCAACCTGTAGCTCGCCAGCCCCTTATAGCTCTTTGGGGCGCTATTATAAGTAAAAATATAGGGTTTTATACGTAAAAAAAATAGGGTTATACAGTGGTATATTCTATGTGTTTTCCATGTTTTGTCATAGTTATTACATATATTTTAATCATGACTGCCAAAAGGAGTAGCTCTCTGCCTCTTCTGTTGTATGAGCAGCTCACCGATTGAAAAAGAGAGATACAGGAACCCTCCAGAGTGCGTTACAGATATAGTTCAAAAACAAATACATACAATTATATATTTTTAGAGGATACAGGTTTATACTTTTTATATTTTGTTTACGTATTCAGCTAAATAGAGGTTGTATTGAGTTGTGCAATATATTCACGTATCTTGGGTGTGTTGCTCCTCCCTCCAAATGTTCTGTAACTTATTAATAAAATAATAATACATTTTACAATTACAATTCCAGGAAACCTCAAAGTGCTACAGATTAAAATACAAAACCACAAACAACAAAACAAAGAAAAAGAATCAGAAGTACACGAATACATCAAAAAGAAACGTGGACAAATGTAGGACTAAAAGGGCCTGGAAGCTGGACTGCGTAAAGTGTTGCGTTTTCTTTTAGCACGTGCGCAGGTCTGAAGAACAAAAGCGTAAAATTACTACTACAAACTGAGAAAAACGTGTAAAACCTGTGCGTAGTTTATTAATGAGAAATTATAGTGTTGAAGGTGCGCGTAAAAAGTGACGTCTCCGTGTCTCTGGTCCTCTAACGCGGCTCTAAGTCTGTTTTTTATGAATGAATCCAACTAGAGGTTCATTGTGAGGTCTATAAACAGAATTGTGTTTTGACACTTGTTGCATTGTAAAGCGTCAATAGAGCATTAGATGTTAAAACGTCTCCTTCCCGACGCGAGACATAAAGGCCTAAAGTTTGAGGTTTTTAATTCAATGTATTTTTGTATAGCCCTAAATCACAACATCAGTCATCTCAGAGAACCTCACACATTGTTGATTCACTAACAACAAATCAGAGAAACAGTTCAAACACATTCAGGAAATACAATAATAACAAACACGAAATCGAAGAATGCTAAACTATTATTATTGATTCATGTCCTTTACATTTACAGATGACAACAAACATCTAAAGGTATGCCCTGGTTTTAGTTTTAGTTTTAATGAGTCTTTTGTGTAATTTGAATGATCGTTATTTGTATTTTAAGGCACATGTTTTGTATATATGTTTAAATCTATAAAATAAATACATAAATAATAACAATAATGATGATAATAATAAACACTTATATGAGACATTGGTCCATAGAGAGCGGGAGGATTAATGTAAATGATAATAAATGTTAATAATACATGTTAATAAATGTTAACAAATGTCCTATATCACCACTGTCCTTAGACCCTTCTGCATCGGCAAAAAACTCCAAAATAACCTTTAGTGAGAAACCCCGGGTGTGTGTGTGTGTGTGTGTGTGTGTGTGTGTGTGTGTGTGTGTGTGTGTGTGTGTGTGTGAGAATTTCTTATCAATTTGGTGAGTCAAAAAGGCAGTTTGTTTCCATATCGTGCGTAAGTGAGACACCCTCATAAGCAAGAAGGAGCGCTACTGCAAGGCCCTTTATCCCCACAGCTGTCAGACTGTACAATAAGTCACTTTAAGTCACTTGCACTAGGACTGAAAAACCTGCACTATTGACACTGTTTCTTTAAATCCTGCATTTAACATGTTTGCACGTGTCTTTCTTTTCTGTTGTGAGATCAATAAAGTCTATCTTATCTTAGAAGTCGTAAATCTCTGTTCATATATTCTACTTTGATTTAAATATATTTTTTCCACATGGCACAAACTGACTTTTCAGAAAGACCGAAGAAAGGAACTAAATCTTCCAGCACGCGGGGAATCTTTGCTAAATTCAGGGCAAAAACTAAAAAAACAACAGAAATATTTGCATCAAACTATCAATCTTGAATTCCAAACGATGTTGACGTTGTTATAAAAGCTTTGACGTGAAAAAGGGGCAAAGTGGGGGTTGTTCTGTGCGTAACGTCGCTCCTCGCGCAGACAAGGACGTAATAACAGCTCAGTTTGTAAGACGAGTAGGTAATGGCTCCAAATTAACTCATTATCTTTTTTATGTCGGTGAAAGCAAACGAAAGCCCTCTCCATTATGCAATCACTAAAGGTTGTTTTTAGGGTTATTATTAATTAACTGGAGAAACGTGCTCATTTGCATTAAATTTGTCGGTTAAAGGAAACAAAGGACCTTCACATCATGTATTTGTGAATAGCCCTAAATCACTGCAGCATCGTCTCTGGGGATTTATCAAAACAGATCAGAGAATTAAACAGTTCAAAAAGAGGAAATAATAACCTACACACATGGAGCTATTGGTTGGGGTGACCACTGTCCGTATGTTAATGTGAAGGACATTTATGGACATTATTATATGTTTGAGAACACGAGCCAGCGCTGCTATATTTAAAAATAAAAAAATTGTATTTTTATTTCATTTTATGAAGCGTGTCGAGTGTCCAGAAAGGGTTATACAAGTTTGATGTATTATTATCATTATTATAAATGTCATAGACTATAATTAATCAAGATTAAGAATACATTACATCGTTAGTGTTGCATCAGAATTTACAGAACAGTAGAAGGAGGAGTGAATATTTTAAATAACTTGTAGGCGCTCGCACTTCATTCTGTCTGAAAAAAATAAATAAAACTGAGAATAAAAACTTTCAGGTTACTCTGGTGCATGCGTAAAGATCATGGCCTAAAGTCTCTCAATTTCGACAAACTCTAAAAAAAATAGCATAAAAGCTTAATAAAAAACAAAGCATAACAAGTATAAGTACACACATATGACATATTTGTTTGTAAATAATCTGTAGATACATCTGTGATCCGTGCAAAACATATTGAGTCCTTCGCTCTGGGTTCAAATATGTTTCTGTAATGGACCAAATGTGGATCTGCGCGGAGCTGGAGGGACTCAGAGTCAGGACCCGTCTGTCCTCAGTCCGTGTCTCAGTCCGTGTCTCAGTCCGTGAGAGGACAAAGGCTGAGGACATCTCTGCACATAACAGAAAGTAAACGGTGCGTAATGAAGTCATTCACGGAACGACCGCAGTGAAAACGTGTTTGTCTCGCGGCCTTTAACTGCGCAGTAAATCTGTCTCTGCTTTGAACCGTCAAACTGACTGTTTGAGTTGTATCCAGTTTAATGTCGAGGATGAGGATGTGCCATGAGGACGTGCCGCAGACTGACGCAGCAGACGTGTCCAGGGCCGGAGCTGAGGCAGGCCATCCGGAGCACGAGCCCATGTTTTATTTGTTTAGCAACAAAAGAAGAGTCTGAGAGATTTAGAGCTCTGTGTAAAGAGCACGTGTCAGACGCAGGTGATTGAAGACGTGACATGCGCACAGTGGCGCCAGTGAAGACGCAGAGACAAAGGATCAGACCCTGATGAGACACGCAGCAGTAACTGGAGACGCACTCTAACCTCTGGAACCACATCAGCCTCACAACACAACACACAACTGAACACACAACACACAACAGAACACACAAACACTGTCTTTATCCTCTGTGTGTGTGTCCACAGAGGGCCTGGGCCACAGAGAGGATGCCCCTGAGGAGCGGCGGGTGCAGAAGCCTCGCGGCAGGCGGCGGCCGCGGGTGCTGTTCTCGCAGGCGCAGGTGCTGGAGCTGGAGCGGCGCTTCAAACAGCAACGGTATCTGTCGGCGCCGGAGCGGGAGGCGCTGGCGGCGTCGCTGCGCCTCACGTCCAATCAGGTGAAGATCTGGTTCCAGAACCGTCGCTACAAGTGCAAGCGGCAGCGTCAGGACCGTACGCTGGAGCATGTGCCGCCGCCGCCACGCCGCGTGGCCGTGCCGGTGCTGGTGCGGGACGGGAAGCCTTGCCTTGGAGGCGCGCAGAGCTACAGCCCCGGTTACGCACACGGTTACAGCTACGGCGGCTACGGCGCGTACACGTACAGCGCTCCACCGTGTCCCAGCAACTTCAGCTGCACCTACAGCGGACTGCACGCACTGCCGCCCAACAACGGCTCCTACACCAGCGCCAACCTGGCAACCGCACAGGCGCAGACACAGGGCCCCATGAGCGCCTGCCAGGGCATCCGGGCGTGGTGACAACTGTTGTTCACTGACTCTGGACCTGAACCTGAGGTCTCCCTTCAGTCTGGACTCTGTGGTTCTGAGCCTTTGTAAATGTTTATGTTTATAGTCCCAGTTTCATGTAACAGTGTGAGTATGAGTGTATGAAAGTATAATAATAATAAACATGTTGTTTAAAGGGCCAGGCTTGTGTTTGGAGTTACTGGCCACAGAGTCTGGGGTATTGTGGCAATGGCATGTTATACATAGTTTTAAAGCTTTTTATCTAAATAACAACCCCATATTTATAAACATGCAACTCTGAAGGCAATAAGCAATAATCTAAGGTAAACATTAATAAACCCATAGCCTCCGCTTTTCTTCAGCTTTTTGCCCCAAATAGTGGCCATACCTGCATGTGAACGCCCTGAAGCTAAGCAGGACAGGGCCTGGTTACTACAGTGATGGGAGACCTCTGGGCAAACAAAGTGCCAAACTGTCGCTGTGCTCCTTTAAGACACTTCACACACATCAGAATGAGTGTGTGAATAGTTGGTGGTGGTGGGAGGGGCTGATGGTAGATATTGCCTCCCCTATGTCAATGCGCCCCAGGGCAGCTGTGGCTAAAGTAGTAGTTTATCACCACCGTGTATGGAGTGAGTGAATAAACATGTGAAGTGTCTTTGAGTGTCCTGAAAAGTGCTATAAAACATGCTATAAAATAATGATTATTATTATTATTAGTTTGAGAGCCCTGGTTCTGTTTCTCTCAAACTCGCCCCTTTTGCAGGAGTTCTCTCTCAGCGCGGTGGTCCATGGGTAATAGTACAGTCATAATGTGCTGGAGACATTGGTCAAAGTGTTCTTGTTCCACAGACCTAGAGCTACAGCTGCAAACCAGGGATGTCCGCTGTTATAAACGAGGGCTTGGGGCTTTTTGGCCACAGGGAGCTTTTGTCCCGCTGCCAGAGCCACAAAGACGCGCTCCTTCGTGGGACAGAGCGCGAGACGGAGCCGGGAGCGCGCACAACGGCACAAAGAGGCCAGATTGACGTCCTAATATTCCCCCATTAACACAGACAGAGGAGGCGCGCGCTGCAGAAATGTGCACGCTTTTGTTGGCGCTGAGGATCCCGTGGAGCGCGCGGACAGCGGGGGCCCGTGCGCTGGACAGGGGCCTCAATGGCTACAAGTTTCCGCCTTTGTGTGGGTAACGAGCGGGAGGAGGGGGCCTTTGTCTGCGCCAAGAGGGTCGTGCACCTCCAGCCTCACGCACAAAGCACACGCAGCTCCAGCACCGAGGCGCGGCGCAGCGGAACCAGCCGAGTCTGTGGGGCCCAAGTACACTCACTGAGGTTGGGAGACTTTCAATATGGAGTCCAGAGCAAAAGTTAGGCTCGGAAATGTATCAGTTATGGGCGTCATGAACACGTGGACTCCAAGAATTCGGAAACTACAAGAACTCCCATAGCCGTCATTTTGACTGCTCCCATTTAAACTGATGAAGATATGTCAAGGTTTTTTTTTCCTTCACTCACTTTCAATAAATGCTAACACTGATGAATATAACTTAAAATAAAAAAAAATAAAACATTACAAAGTAAACAGTGTGTTGCTATGGTAACGCTAAGATAATTTTATACAAATAATGACATAGAAGATTCAGAAAAAAAATCACAATATTATGCAGACCATAAAAGTGCAAACGCTGAGTTCTAAATTCTAAATTACTAAAAGCTGTCATATTTACTGCTCTGGGGGTATTAATGTTAACATATAAAACTCTCAGAGCCGTCATTTTGACTGCTCCCATCGGATGTTCAGCTTTTCACTAATTTCATTAATAGAAAGTAAGGTTTTGATCTTTATTTACTCCTAATCAGTGCTAATATTTAAAGAGAAATAGAGCAAAAAAGGCTCATGCTAACTTCTATCGGTAAACATTGTGTTGCTATGGTAACAAGCACTTGATATATTCTCAGGTGAAAAAAAAGGTAAAAGTGAAACTCCTCATGATAAAGATACAGAAAAAGTTCTGCAGACCGAGATTGACTGCTCTGGGATGACCGCTGTCCATAAATGTTTATAAATGTCCTGAATTGTCACAGCCCTTTACAGTGGGGAAATGTCAGTGTTGCATCGCAGGCAGCAGGAATGAGGAGCACACAGCACAATAGCTTTATACATGAAATAAAATACAATCTTTAACTTTAGCATAATAAAGAAGCAAGTACCACATGAACAATCACACCAAAACCTTTGTCTGGTTCTCTTGTTTCCTGTTTTTATTCATGTTAATGCTAATTTTTGTCTTTTATATTGTTTTGAATCACGTTTGTGCGGTGTCCTTGGGTGTTTTGAAAAGCGTTTTTTAAATCGTATTATTATTATTCAATTTAATTCAACGTTTATTACAGACTCTAGGTCCAATTCAAAACACACAGAGAGACAAGACAGAAGAAAATAACAAAAACTAGTTTATTATCAGCATAAAATTGTGTATATTAGTGTTAGTTAATATATATGTAAACATCTTTTTAACACAGAATAATGTATAAATATATAGTTATCAAGGATTGTATAGTTCCTACAGTCTCAAAAGTGTGCCATAAGTGAGACATCGAGCAGGTTACAGTCGCAGTTACTTTGGCGCTAACTTTCTAGCAGCTAACAGCTTGTACATCACACAAACTCACGGCGTTTATTCAAATCGAGAGGTTATTGCTTCCACTTCGCTAAAGAGAAAAGAGAAAAGCACTTGTTACTTTTGTTCGTCGGTCTGTGTCGTTCTGCACAGACTCTGAAGAGCCTCTGGAGGAGCTTCATTCAAGTGCAAATCAAATGTCAAAACACCCTCATGGTCTCTGCAGCGGCTGCCTCTGATTGGCTGAGGGTAGGAGATAAGCCCCGCCCCCCAAAGACAGGTTTAAACAAAGTGCTTCAGAAAAAAGTGCTGCGTCCGTGTGGTGGTTTTTTGTACTTGTGTTTTTAATGAAATGTTTTGGACTTTACTGTGGGCCAAGTTTCCACTGGGTTCAATGTGTGGGGATTCTGGGGTTTCTATGTGGGCGAGTTTTTTTGTATAGCACAGTTTATACGCAAGGAAATTCAAAGTGCTGGACAAAACAAGGAAAGAAAGAAATTAATAATACAGTTGATCAAAAAGCGAAACTGAACTGTTTTTAACCTGGATTTGAACATTGTCTGCAATTACCTTCTTACGCCACAGTGCCACCCAAGCGTAAGTAGGTCCTGGGTTCGATTCCAGCTCCAAGCCTTTCCGTGTAGAGTTCGCACGTTCTCCTCAAGTCTGAGTAGGTTTCCTCCAGGTGCTCCAAAAGTTACTGAGTTTACCATCAGTTTTAGTCAAATTTACCGTTACTCACTTTTAATAACTGCTAAAACTTGTGATTGTAACTGTCTGTTTGCTGAAAGGCTAACGCTAACTGGTAGCAAGTAAACAGTATGTTGCTATGGTTACAAGCATTTGCTCTTCTCTACTACATCATTTCAAAATTCAAAGATAATTTCATGAAAATAATGATAAAAACTACACAAAGTTTGAAAAAGTCACAAAGTTATGAAGATCAAGGGTGTACATGAGCTGAGTAACTACACTTCGAAAACTAAAAGCCGTCAAATTGATTGCTCTGGGAGTTATAGTGTTAATGAAAATAATAAAGAAATAAAGAAATAGTAAATCAATTCTGGAGTTGCAGGTTTTCCCACCGCTAAAAAAATGTAATACCAATGTGTACCATCTCAGTGGGACGTTCTGGGTTTAACAAAAAGGTGAATAAAAAAGACAAATTTTCTAAATTCGGTCTTCAGTAAAGTCCTCTGGTGCTGCGTCTGCCTCTCGTCTTCCCACGGCTCGAAACAGGAAGTCCATAAATCATACACTTTCACCAAACACAACCACAACACAACCGCACAAAACACACGTCAGGATAATCTCCTCACACATTCTCTCTCCGCACAAGGAGCATTCTGCCGCTCTGCTCGGAGACTGAGGTCGGCTCCTACCTTTCTATTTGAATTATCTTAACAATCTGATAAAAACAGTCAATATGACGGTTTTTCAATTTTGGAAGTGTAATTACTCTGCTTATGACGATTTTTGGTTTTCGTAACATATCACTTTTTCTAGATGAGGTTTATTTCAATGTCATTACTACGTGGAAAGAGGTGTGTGCTATCTTCTGTAGTCTTGCAGCGTTATTCCAATATGGTTTTACTGCAAATGGCAAATAAATGTAAAAAAAATTCAAATGTGACTAATTCATTTCTGGTTTCTGGGCTAACAACGGTCCTGTTCTGGACTGGTTCAGGTACAGATCTTTTTCAGGATCAGATTTTAGTTTGAGACTTCTCTGGGAGTCCTGTTGTTAACAAACTTCCGAAAGGCGGTGATCCAGGTCCGGGGAGGTCTGACAGACGTGTTCGGCCCGAGCTGTGTGTTGTTGGGGTGTTGTGGGTCGTGTGCGCGGCAGACGAGCGGTGACCTGTGGGAGTCATGCGGGTCAGAGAGAGCGGACTGAGGCTGGACTATAACAACCCCAAGAGGAGGAGGAGGAGAGGCCTGAGTGGGTAAGAGGAGACCGCAGAGACAGAGCGTGTACCCCACAGGGAACAACAAACATGGAACTGGAGACACTGCTCGAGGCAAATACTATAAAGACCTGTCAGAAAAATACAAGATAAATGAGATTTCTGAAATGATTCTATTTCTACAGATGTGAAAACCATGGACCGGAAGTAAGTCACATAAGTTTGATTACAGAACAGGGAATATTCTAATTTTCAATAAACAATACATACTTTAATTTACAATAAACAATACATGTTCTAATTTTCCAAGCTTCAATTAAAAAACAATACATTTATAAGGAACTATATTAGCAACTGACTCCTGTGGCTCAGGGACTTTTTAGCAGCTCTGTGTGTTCAAGTCTCTCCATGGCCTCGCACCAAAGTACATCGCTAACACCTATGGTATATTTATGTATTATTCTGTATGCTTTCATAATGCTGTGTGGATCACTTCACAGGTGGGGATTGCATTTAAACCACACCTTGCACTTTGTAGTATTTTAGACACATGCCCTGAAGAAGGCCCTACGTGGCTGAAAGGCGTAGCATCTCTGACCATTCAAGGATTTTTATATAAATGTCAAGAGTGCCTCAGAATAATCCTAATCTCAGTTTTATTCCCACTGTTTATCCTGATGAGCACCCGACAGTCCTCATCTCTCCTGAACTTCTACATCCCTGACATGTTGGTCCCATATGAACCAACTCTGAGGAGCACAGGGACCGGCCTCCTGCTGGGACTCTGAGTCAGGACTAAACATGGGGAGCCAGAGTTTTGATTCACGCAGCTAAAATCAAGAGTATTCCTGAAAATGTGAGACGGACTTCTTCTCTGACATGGTTTAAATCCATGGTTAAGATAAAATATTCCTTTATTAGTCTCACGGTGGAGAATTTTCAGTGTCATTGTTGCGCACATTATAATATAATTAAAATGAGATAAGATGGTGAAATAGGATAAAATCAAATCTCTGGAGCTATAATTGCATTTGGTTCAGGAGTATTTTTTTTCTCTTTTAATGTATTTATTGTCTCTTTTAATGTATTTATTGTCTCTAACTATTTTGCATCTTTTAACTCTAACCTATGTATGTTTGTTTGTATGATTGAGAGCAAGGGACCAGTGCACAATTTCCTTCGGGATCAATAAAGTATATTTCTATCTATCTATCTATTTACAATGCTTTAGCAGTGGAGAATATGAGCAGAACAAACATCAGTAATAATATCAACAAATTAAATTAAAAAGCTGTGCATACAACTGATGGATTTTGTCTTCACTCTTTTTAACTCATTGACTGCCCTTGTTGTATTTGCCTGAGAATGGAGATTTCTGTCCAAGTTCCTTCTATTCGACTGGGGATTACAGCAGAACAAAACTAGCTAGAAATAAATTAAAGGGAAAGTACAGTTCAGTCTTTCAGAATCTACGTTTCACATAATAAAATCATAGCAAACAATTTTCCGCGGGTCTTGAAAATCTAAAACGGCTGGCAGTCAATGAATTAATGTACTGCGATTATTTATGCAGTATTAGTTTTTGAGGTATTGTTAAAAATGTGAGTTACCCTTACCTTACCTAAATACTGTATAAATGACGAAGAAGCTAATTTCTATCTTTTCTGAACCAACAGCGACAACCGAACCCTCGAGAATCATCTTTGAGTGAAAAAAACGACAGAAGCGGTTTGATATATTTTCCTTTTTATTGTTTTTCTCTCAGCGCCTGGAGTCAGCACCAAGAGAAGACCCTGCTTCTGCGAGGAGCTGCCATAAACTTTATATTTACACAATTCACAGAAATCACTCTTCACACGCTCCATGTTCCGAGTCTCGCGCCTTTGTTCCAGTCTTTGGCGTCAAAGCAATGAAACAAAACGACCGTCAAAAAAAAAAAATATTAAAGAAACATCCGGATCAATCTTCATGTTAATGTTATAATACGCTTGTTCAAGTTTAAAGAATATAATTAAGTGGGACTTGGTCTTTGAAATTAGAGTTTGGACCAGAGGAGGAAAGATACTAATGACTTATTATTCACCGCAAGAAGACAAGCTGAATACTTTAGACTTTTGCTTTGAGATCTCAGTTAAATTTAGCTTAATTTTGCTTATAAATGAGAATTTGGGGGCATTTGTATAAGAATGAACTAAAAGCAGAAGAGAAATTGCCCTATGGAGATACATAACTACTGCATACTATTGTTAGTAACTTCTGTATGTGTTTGTATGGGTAGATTTTTCCTCTACAGGGATCAAAAGTATCTATACATCTATAAAGTGTAGCCTAATCATGAACCTTAACCTAACCAGTTATCTTTTTACACAAAAGTATTCCGATTTATTTTGATTATAAATGATGCCGTACTTGCTGGACTATTGAGAGCCACTGTATGTAAACAATTGCCCCATTGAAAATACATACAGTGACCCTTAACCTCAACCTTTAGCCTAACCATCTGCATTTCGGTAATATTATACATATATTTTAGTAATATTAAAGTATTCTTCAGTCCTCATATGTTGTAATGTGTTGTAATCTAACACAAAACCAACCGCTGATGGACCGACACAAATCCGATACATGGACACAACATGATTTCATATTGCGGTATTTTGATGCACTGTTGATGATCAAAGCACTGTGGTAAATCCAGTCTATTTTGACAATAAACGATAGACTACAACTGGAAATAGTCAAATAAAAAATCCATAAACTCAGCTCTGACCACAGCCTGAAACACACAAGTCCTGTGCATTTCCCATTGACTGTAAATATTAGTATTAATAGTAATATTTTTGTGTCAGCCGTCTCTGCTTTACCTTCCTACACCACAGGGGGAGCTCTAACAAAAGCCAAACACACACAGTGGCTGCATTGATATTAGTTAAAATGACTTTAAAAGAGTAGTGGCGTATAGTCCAGCGAGTACTGTATGTAATATAGCAGTAAAAGGCTCTGTAAAGTTACTGGGATTTTCCTTACATTTGTCTGGTATAGAAGAACCAAAATAACTGAATCTACTACTGAGAAGAGATTCACCTTGCCAAAAATGTGCAAGTTTACCCTAATTTCAGTTCAGGTAAACATGGTCACTGCCAGTAGAGGGCGCTAAGACGTTAAACCGTATGAGTAAAGCTAAAGTTTAGACTTTCTCTGTGGTAAATATACTTTAAAAACACCAAAGAGTGTTTTAAGCGTAGTAATAATTCTTTCCACCTCTGGCCGTGTGTGATATTTCAAAGACCAGTCCAGAGTATGTGCGTCAGAAGCGGCGGTCAAGGCAACACCTGGATAACTTTCTTTCAATTCCCATCGAAAGACAAACATGTAAGTGCTTCCCATGTCAGCAGAAACAGGACTGTTGTGATCCAATGGCAAGAAATAAATAATAAAATACATTGGAGAAACGGTTTGTAGTCATTTACACATGAAAAATCTGACTGGATTAAGATGGAGGTGTTTTTATTGAGGCACTTGAGCTAGTGACAGACGTGAGCAGCATAAACATAACATTTGGAGACCAGCATTACGCACTAACAAGCTCCGCTTCTTTGCCTTGAGTGCAGCGCCCTCTGGTGGCCTCCTCAGTCACAAACGTAAAATATTAGCGTTGACTTTCTCTCTCTTTTCTGTAAATATAAATCTAATCTTATTCAACACGATAAAAATAGCACCGCTGTCACTTCTAGGAATAAATTCAAATATGTGTTTTCTATCTTAACTGTGACTTAGCAGTTTTTTGTGATGGGGGGAAATAATTTAGGTAATTTAAATTAGTTATAAAATCTTTTAACACTGGTGACAATGAGATTTTAATACATGGCATGAGTTTTAATGTGTGCGTAACCTTTGTTCAATAAATAACTCATTTTCTTCGAGCATTAATCCCGCTTTAGTTCATGTAAAGTAGACCTCTATATCCACAGGTCTATTATTCTGTTTTGCGATAGTGTCGAGTGGTCTTTAAGTAGTTTCAACATATTTTTTTCCATGATAAAATCCCGCAGCAAAGAGCGCTACATTGACTTAAGAAAATATATGGTGTGATGAGGTGAAGGGTTGAGGTTGAAGCAAGAACCAAATGCCCCAGAACTCACACAAACGGTAAATTCTCTGTTATTCTAAAAGGACCAGGGCACAAACCAGAACCGGAGTGTTGGAATAGACGGTCAAAGCAGCGAGCTTGTCATAACAGACGAGAACCAGACAAACAGGCAGCTTTAGACTCTGCTTAAATATGGTATAAATGCAGATAATGTAGGTTGAAGCGGTGTAGTGGCTGATGTTAGTCCAGTATCATCATTCTAGTGATAAAACTCAGTGAGATGCACAGTTTGCGTCTGGTCTAGTGCTGAAATGAATTATTAGTTTGACTTATTGATTCGTCTTTTGGACCTGGAGAGCTCAGTGAACATGGGATTTGTTAAAAAGTGTGACCAGAACGAAGATGAAGTGATGCCTCTGGAGGAAATCTTCAAAGAGACGACCTGTTCGGGTTTTGTAAATACATTTTCATCTTTTCAGTTTGCTCATTCTGGCATTGTCTTAAAGTCTTAGAGTCTTAAAGCCTAATATTTAGGTTTAAAGAGTGCATTCACAAAATAATTCAAATCAAATGAGGCCTGATTCTGTCGCAAATTGTCTTTGTAAATCCAGATCGGAGTCCTATAAAGATTGACCAATCACATGTCTTCATTCTCAGGGAAAACTCCAGTTAGCCTTAGCAACCACCCTAGTAACACATTTCTTACAGGTTATAACCATGAGAATACACTGAAAAAAATGATAAGATATGAAGGCTAAAATGGCTTAAAATGAGTGTTTTATTTTTATTTTTTCTAGTTATTTGAGTACATTCTGTGTTAAAACAAGACTCTCCAACGGGACAAAGGCATTTAGTCTTTTTTCAGGAACTGTTGCTTTATTTTCTCATTCCAAGGGAGACATTTCTTTTATCTTTTTATAACAAGATCATTTTGCTTGGCCCCATCGGCAAATCTTGTTTTAAACGGAAACAAAATGTGAAAAGTTTAGATTTTTTGGCCTTGTTTTTCTTCATATTTTTGCAGTGTATCGGCTGATCTCTTTCACAGTAAAGTAATCCTAACGCAGGATTTGGATTCGAGGGAAGCAAAAGTGTATCGTGAATGCGCCCAATGTCTATGTAAGATTTATTAACTGATTCACATTTACAGCCCTAGTCTGCGCACTAATGTTTGTTTTCACTTCCAGACAAATCCACTATCTTTCCCTGGTCTGGTCTGGTCCTACCTTACCCTGGTCTGCCCCTACCTGGCCTCCACACTTCCCTGGAGAATCCCCTGCTCTCGTCACTTAAGTAGCCGCTCGTGTTGCCTCTTGGTGATGATGTATTTGAAGAACTCGTAGACCGACCAGCTGATGGCGGTGGAGGGCATCTGGTAGATCACCCTCGCCTGGACGCCCTTGAAGAACGCTGCAGGGCCTCCGCTTCTGTACACAGTCCGAAACGCTTCCCCCAGCCCCGAGATCTGCCTGGCTCCCACCGCCGCCCCCGTCCCCTCGGCCTGCACCATCACGGCCTGCGCCTCCTGCGTGTTCAGCAGCGTCTTGCACACGTCCAGCGGCGTGGTGGCGGCGGCGGCGATGGCTCCGGCCAGCGCCCCGGAGACCATGTGGGAGGTGGGGTTGTAGTGTCTGTGGGGGTTGAGGGTCTCCTGCAGGGACTCGTAGGTCATGAAGTGTAGCGCCTGGAAGGGCACGTTCATGGTGAGCTGCGTGCTGTAGCTGCGGTAGAAGGCGCCCGCACCCTCGCGCCGCAGCAACGAGGAGGCGCAGTGGACCACGCCGCGGTACGGGGAGTTGAACATCTGCATTCGCTGCTTCACCACTGCACACAGGACACAAGATCACAAGTAGTATGACCACGTCTGCAAACTAGCTGTTAGCTATACAGCATCGGTTCCTGTAACAATGCTTCTTGTTCTGTCCCTATCAAATAAACATAATAATAATAATAATAATAATAACAAGTCGGTTTGGGACACAGATGGTCCACACACAAACAAATACAGTCATTTCCGGACTATCAATAAATTATTCTTTCATAAAGCCCTTACAAAACTCAACAATAAAATCACATATATACCATTAAAACATTCATACAATCAAAATATAAAAGCTAAAAGCATTAAAACAAGCATTAAAAATATAAAAGCCGCACCCGATTATAAGCCTCAGGTAATGCATGTTGTAAAATCGAACAATTAATGACAGAAGTGAGTCACTGACTGTTTTTTTATCTTCTAGTGTTAAGCAGAAAGATCAGGAGCAACATCTACCATTACTCTGTTCACGTTCATGTCTTTACAGAGAACTAAAAACTATTATGTGAGATATTTACACAAAGATAGAAGTGAGGACTTATAAAGTTTATTTAATCCGCTTGGAAAAAAACAAATACATATTGCAAATGCTTTTTTCCCAAATGGTCTCTGTAACCTTTAAATATACCACAAGTCTTTCAAAGTGCAAGAAAAAAGCTGCGGCTTATAGTCCAGAATTTACAATGATATATAATGTTGAAGGCCAGTTACCTTCAGCCGGGTTCATGATGGCGTCGTGGATCACCGTGGCCATGCATCCGGCTAAACCTGCAACACAACAAACAGTGTCAGAGTCCCCTGGTCTCATACGTCCATAACGTGTTTGTGCATGTATATGTGTGTATACAGTATGTGTATATGTGTGTATACAGTATGTGTGTATGCAGTATGTGTATATGTGTGTATACAGTATGTGTATATGTGTGTATACAGTATGTGTATATGTGTGTATACAGTATGTGTAAATGTGTGTATACAGTATGTGTAAATGGATGTGTGTAAGCTGACCCCCTTCTCCCTCTGTGTATTAATATGGCCTCTCTCTGGCCTCCCTCCCTCTGGCCTCTCTTCTCCCTCCCTCACTCTCTGGCCTCTCCTCCCTCCCTCACTCTCTCTCCCTCTGGCCTCTCTTCTCCCCTCTCCCTCTGGCCTCTCTCCTCCCTCCCTCACCCTCTGGCCTCTCTCCTCCCTCCCTCACTCTCTGGCCTCTCTCCTCCCTCCCTCCCTCACTCTCTCTCCCTCTGGCCTCTCTTCTCCCCTCTCCCTCTGGCCTCTCCTCCCTCCCTCACTCTCTCTCCCTCTGGCCTCTCTTCTCCCCGCTCCCTCTGGCCTCTCTCCTCCCTCCCTCACCCTCTGGCCTCTCCTCCCTCCCTCACTCTCTGGCCTCTCCTCCCTCCCTCACTCTCTCTCCCTCTGGCCTCTCTTCTCCCCTCTCCCTCTGGCCTCTCTTCTCCCCTCTCCCTCTGGCCTCTCTCCTCCCTCCCTCACCCTCTGGCCTCTCTCCTCCCTCCCTCACTCTCTGGCCTCTCCTCCCTCCCTCACTCTCTCTCTCTCTGGACTCTCTCCTCCCCTCTCCCTCTGGACTCTCCTCCCTCCCTCACTCTCTGGCCTCTCTCCTCCCTCCCTCACTCTCTGGCCTCTCTCCTCCCTCCCTCACTCTCTGGCCTCTCTCCTCTCTCCCTCACTCTCTGGCCTCTCCTCCCTCCCTCACTCTCTGGCCTCCCTCCCCCCTCTCTGGCCTCCCTCCCCCTCTCTCTGGCCTCCCTCCCCCTCTCTCTGGCCTCCCTCCCCCTCTCTCTGGCCTCCCTCCCCCTCTCTCTGGCCTCCCTCCCCCTCTCTCTGGCCTCCCTCCCTCACTCTTTGGCCTCCCTCCCTCACTCTTTGGCCTCCCTCCCCCTCTCTCTGGCCTCCCTCCCCCTCTCTCTGGCCTCCCTCCCCCTCTCTCTGGCCTCCCTCCCCCTCTCTCTGGCCTCCCTCCGCCTCTCTCTGGCCTCCCTCCCCCTCTCTCTGGCCTCCCTCCCCCTCTCTGGCCTCCCTCCCTCACTCTCTGGCCTCCCTCCCTCACTCTTTGGCCTCCCTCCCCCTCTCTCTGGCCTCCCTCCCCCTCTCTCTGGCCTCCCTCCCCCTCTCTCTGGCCTCCCTCCCCCTCTCTCTGGCCTCCCTCCCCCTCTCTCTGGCCTCCCTCCCCCTCTCTCTGGTCTCTGACAGTTTAATGTGACAGTTACCGTTAGCTAAGTGGCTGTTAGCTCCCGGGTGGATGGCGTCGCTGAGGCTGAACTTGAGTTTCTCGTAGCAGGCGAAGTAGAGCGCGTGTGCAGGCCCCGCCCCCACAGCGAGCACGTTGACCCCGCGGATCGGCCGCCACACGCCCTCCGTGCGCACGATCTGCCGCAGTGCGTCCATCACGTTGCGATAGCGAGCGCCAGGCTCTGGGTGTAGACTCTGCATCCGTGTCTGTAACAGAGGAGGCCATAGTTATCCAGGTTATTGTGAAGCGCTTTGTGTAGTTCTGGTCCGGGGCAAAAACTATAAGCAGGCCTTTTATATGTTTTTTTTTTTTTTTTACATTATGAAGGTATTTTGACAGGATTAGTTTTGTATAATGAGTTTGGACGTTATTTTGTGGTAGATTTTTATGAATTACAAAACTGAACCAAAAAGGTGAAGAATTATAAACTGATCTACTGTTGATTTTTATATATACCAAAAGACATGGTTTGTTTATTGAGAAAATTAGCCATAAAAAGGTACAATATGTCATAGCAGCCATATTAACAGATGACAATCAATGCAAAAACATAATAATCAACAATCATCTTTGGGGGCCACAGAACATGGTCCGGTGTTTGAAATCTGTGGCATTCAGGAAATCTTTTACTGCTTAGTCATGACTGCTGCCGTTATCAAGGAAACTACATCAACCAGTGGCTGTCCTTCAATAAGAAGCTATGTCAGACCAGCTCCAGAGAGTGGCCCTCTCTGGAGCTGGTGTTGCTGCAGGTTTTCATTCCAACCAAGCAGACAACAATGCAATTACTGTTTAAGGATGATGAGACATTTTTATATTTTTTCTTATTAAATGTTGAATAATAAATGCTTTTTTTTAAATGAATGTTTTAAATGTTTTGATGTGAATTGATCCTTTGTGGAGTGGACCCCAGGAAGACTAGCGACCAAGCTAATGAGGACCCAAATAAATAAGTAAAGTAGAAGCACACCAGACTGCACCCATTTCCATGTCTTGACCTGTTGAGTTGGGGAAATGGGTGGAGACTGGTGTGCTCCTGCTTGATTAGAATGAAAACCTGCAGCTACACTGACCCTGGTCCTGGTCTGACACCCCAGATCCAAGCAGTCAAAAGCAGATGAAATGAATATACTTTGAAACGTGTCCTTAAACTCTATAATTTTGAAACAGAATGGTGGATTATAAATGATTCAGGGTTAGTTAGAGTCTGGGGCAGTTCAGGGTCATGTGACATCACCAGGTAAATACAAGTCCAGGTTTAATCAATGCTTTTTGCCCAGAATCAAGGTGACAGCAAACCCAGCAGGGGGCAGTGGGTTAGAGGTTAGGGCTATGAGTCTGGGAGCAACTTTGATATCGGTCCTGGACTCTTCCCGTTTTGGCTAGTTGCTAATTGAGATTCGGGTTAGATTGATATTGCAAGATTAATTATTTTTACACAGCCCTATCTAGGAACTTGCAGAGAGAGAATCAGTGGGAATCCATAAAAACACAGACACAAGGAATAACACACAAGAAACAATAACAGTGCTTCTAAAACATAAAATACATCTACATTCTACATAATGGGGAAACTTTAAATCCTATTAATGAGATACAATAATAACAGGAGAGAAACCTGGCAGCAGATAAGTTACAGTTAGCTACTTTTGAGTTGCCTTGTGTATGAACTGTGCAATACAAATAAACCTTGCCCTTGCCATTAGCCTTTGAAAGACTTTGAGATGAATTTGACTAATGTTTAAGAAGAGTTCCGGGACTAAAAAACAGGAAAATACTGTATGAATACTTGGCATCTCCCAGATTTTCATAATATTTACTTCATACACAGACTATGTTCAGACTTTGTGGTCAATGTGTAAAAGAAGCCTCGTAAAAAAGTAAACGTTAACATTTCAGTTTCAACACTTGATTGAGGAGATTCCCCGGGGCTGGAGCTGAACAGATCTGGACACTACACTTTATAAATAGAAAAGTCAAAGTATTTCTGAATTGTTAAATATTGACTCAAACCGGGAGAGAGCTGGAAAGTGCCCAGTCATTCTGATGTGAGAGAAAGAGTTTCTATGGAACTAAACAAAAGAAAACATTTGGACCCAGAAACAAAAAGTATTGTTTCGTGAAGTGACTTCTCTTCCTGTTGAAGAGAATTTAGGCTTTTCCCTAGTTTTTGTTTTTCCAACTAAACATTTTTAACGAACCCATTGTTTACAAAGACCTCAAAGAAGTACAATATTTTCATGTTTGATTAATGATTTTTCTTTCCACTTTTTCTGGGGTTTTGAGTTAAAGAACTTTGACTAAAAATACATGTATGAAGGAGAGGTAAAAACTGTGGGATAGTTTAATGACCTGACGTTGGATGAGACACATTTAAACAGTTGAGAAAGTTCCAATATAAAAACCAGCGTTGACCCTGAATCACAAAAACGACTCAGCACCGTTATCAAAAGTAGAAGAAAAATACCTAAATGAGGGTCTAACCAAGCCTTAATCACCCAGGAAGGAGTCATCAAAATTAATCTTGGGGAAAAACAAGGATATTTCTGTGCGTACTTTGAAATTACAGAGGTCTGAGATTTTGACCCGAAGACAAAAAAGTACAATCAAAGCTAGGAAGGAACAATAAAAGTACAAATCAGGATCATCTGCACAATGGCGACTTCAATGAAGAGAATAATAAAAAAACTTGCATAATAACTAGGTTCTTTCTTTACAAAAAAAAAAGGATTTAGGGCAATGTTTCTATCAATTAAAAATGTAGTGTTACTTCAGCCATTGTGCTCAGCCCCTATTACATGTCCCCTTTTGAAAACTGCTCAAACACTCTTTAGCTCATTCTTTGTGATTGACAAAAATAGAAGCACTGCAGATGTGAAAAAGGTCTCTCTATGTCACCAAGAAGATGGGAAAGAGAGGACCGACTGGAGGAGATTGGAAGAAAAATAGAGTGGGCTTCCATTCAATTTGGGCTTCCAAGGTTTCTCACCTTTTCCCCCATTTTCCAGGACATTCATTAATATTTATGGCATTTGCCCTCCCTCTCCCTATTGACCAATGGCATGCGTTTGTTTTCATTGTATTTTCAGTGTTCGATTCTTTGATCTGTTGTTGGTGGATTGACCCCTTTGTAAATTCCTTCAAGACGACTTTACAAATTTACATTGAATTGAAAATGAGAAGTGAGGCTTCCGGTAAAAACTCACTAAATATATCTAGTAAGAATCCACCCAAAAGGAAGAGATGGTTTAGAGTTATTTTGTACCCAGATCTATAAACATGTGCCTCTGCAGTGGATGATTCTGGTTTTGATCCATTCCAGTAGAAGAATAGGATCAGTCATACACACAGCAGCTGATGCAGTGGGACCGTGACTCATGCAACCAACTAACCCCAAAGGCTTTAACTGGAACCCACAATGGTCATAGAAATCTAGGGGGGAGTAAAGAAAGTTTACCATGTTTGCTACTGTCAGTCCAACAACTTTCCCAAGTATGCGATTGTCAAAAAAGCCTCAAAAACTCTTTAAGAACATGCATTAAAATTATACAACACTAAATTCAAGTATTTAACCTACAATATGCATGGCTTTCAATAACATATTTTTGCAAGTTATTTCAATAAAAGTGCATTTATCTACAGATCAGGTTGCTGCCATTTAGGATAAGATAAAAACCTTTCATCCCTCAATGGGCAAATGTCAGGGTTAAATTTCCGGTGAAACTATGAGCTTGAGGGAACTAAACATAGCAGAAGACTGAAGTCATGGGACCTTCAGTCATGCGCAGAAAGAGACAAGGTAATTGACACATGCATAATCAGAAGAAAACAGGTGTAAAACTCAGATACCAGCTGATGTATGCGTACCATTTACCATTTATGTGAGGTATAGTCTTTTTTTCTTAGTGCCTTGACGTGTAGAGCCAATTGCCAATTTCACAGTAGAAAAGCAAAATTATTCAATTAAATGCCTTTTTGCATAAACTTAAGTCACAACAGCAGTCGTCTCGTTCATTCAACAGGAGAGAACAGAAAATGCATAATAAAAAAAAACACATTGGTCCATAGGGAGTGGGGCGACCAATGTTCATAAAGTTAATAAATGTCCATATATGGGGTCAATCATACACTTCTTACTCACATCCCAAAAACCATAACAATCTTTGAATAAATAAATAGAATGGTATCTTGTTTGACTCTTATTTTTCTCAACAAAAAATAAAAGAAATCCTCAAAGTTTGAATAAAAAGGAAGAATTCTCAATGTTGCCTGTTGCTTTTAGGATCTGATGCCATGAATACATAAGCTAGGTTACAACATAAACAGGAGAATATTTATGGCTGCTTTTTAACCCTTGTTCTTTGACCAGCATACAGCCTTAAGCACATACTGTAATAATGTATAAAAACATGTTTTTATTAGAACTGGTTCATGAAAGTCTAATGTAACAGACTGTCTGGTGTTTATTTTACTGTAACAAATGAGGAACTTGTTTGATTCGTTTCCTTCTGAGAAATCAAACAAGTTTATTAAAAGGAAGTGTGGCATGGGGATTTATCATCTGACTTAAACAATAGCTCTGTTTGAGAATGTGTCATGCAAATGGCCTGGTTGAAAGTAAACAAAAAGGCAAAGGCAAAACTATTGTAGAGAAGGATATTCAAAAGTGACATAATATCAATAGAACATTTTTTATTGGGCAGGTAATGTCCCTGAACAAGTACAAAAAAGTTGTATTTTTAGATATTATTTTGGAACACGTGATGTTTCCTTTTATGAAAGTTGTGGAAATTTAAAAAAATATTTCTCTAAACAAATACAACAGTGAAGAATAGACACTACTTGATGCCCCGTATGAAGAATAAATTAACAAGTCAGTTACGTATGAATGAATAGTAATGAGGACTGGAAGTTAAAATGCAACCATCTGTTTACTGTCTGCATAAGTGAAATTATTTCAGAGTATGGTGCCAGGGACAGAACACTGACCTGTATCCTACTCAACAACACGATATTAGAATAGTCATTTAATGCCGCATGGGGCAAAGAGCGCAGCTTCAAAACGCATGCTTGGCTGTGCTGCACTATGTAATGTTTTCATGCAAACACAATCCTCAACTAACATACAACAAGATTCAATGTTTTACTTATTCTCATACTCAATTCATCTGACTTGTTTGAGTGTTCTTTGAAATCGTTTTTATGAGTTATGTGACCTTTGATAGCAAGGTTATAGCTGTTAGCATGTGGCTAACTCGAGGACAGGCTTCAGTAGAGGCCTGGCTGCGCCTACTAGCACACATGCTAACAGGCTAATGTTACAAACAAGCCGAACACCACGACATATCTTATCTACTCAATACTTATTATTAACACTAGATTTTTTTGGGATCAGCTAACGTTGTGTGTTGTTCATTACGCATTAGCCAACACGATTTAAAGCGAAATACTCAGTTTTAAACAGAAAACATAATATACACAAAAATATTGGAATAATATAGCATTTGTACAGTAATATTTTCTGTAAATAGAAGTTTAGCCTGATGACAGATTAGATTTTTCAGTTTTAAAGACCAAAACCTAACGCATGCTAAAGTTTTTAACCGGTTGGCGCATGCGCAGAGAACTCAATGGGAAACAACCATGGCAACACATCTGGCAGTGACAGCTAAATAGTCTATTTGACAACAAAAAATGATAAAAAATAGCTCACATACACATTGCAGGTGAAAAAACAAACAAATTGTGCAAATAAACATGCAAGTTAATTATAAGGATTTACAAACGCAGATTGTTGTGTAAATACCTTAACACAGTCGATGGGGTACATTACACAGTGCTCCATGATACCAGCCACGGACCCTGCCAACATGTGCGTACTGGTGGCTACTCCCTGGGGCAAGCCTTCATAGTCTATCTCTGTATCCGCGGATGCCGAGCTCTCCATCGGCGTGGTGGCTCGATGCACCACCGCCGCGGGGCCAAAGTCCTGTTCCATAAGGGGCGTCGTGAAAGGCAAACTCCGGGGAAAAGCTCCAGTCGCGTCCAGAATCCTGCCTCCCAGCCATCGGATCTCCCTCCCGTCTCCCGATGCTTCGACGGGCGCCCGGGTCACAAAGCTGTCCGCCTCCATCCAAGCACAAGCCGGGGAAGACGAGTCCCAGCTGCCGCCTTCGGGAGAGTATTGGCGGGTGAAGGACGCTTGCTACAGCGCGCTGAGGCAAAGCAGGGGTGTGTAGGGTGAGCCAGGATTCATGCTGAAAGCTGATTGGTTGTGCGTCCTGTGCGTCATTCTTCCTGTAATGTGATTGGTTCGAATGTATTCATAAAGGGGGAGGGTTTAAGCGATTGGTTATTACAGTAGAGGAGTTACAAAACCACGCTTTCGCAACTTTGGAGATCACATGGGAAGTCCAGACAGGAGGAAATCGATTTGGTTCATAAATGTGAATGATATGTGGGGAAAGCCTATGTTGCAAACACTGAGTGCAGTTATAGGAAACTATTTTATTATTTTCTATTAGTCCAGAGAGAGAGAGAGAGGGAAAGAGAGACCAGACAGAGACCAGAGAGGGAGATCGACTCTTTTATTTCCATTCAATTCAATTCTTTTATTTACAAAACTTATTGTCATACAAGTTATGTACATTTATAGTGTAGAGTTGGTTGGTGTTTTGTAAAAGGGAACTCCCAGGAAGCTGCATTAGCTTTTAGATGGGCCCGTCTATAAGCTAAATAAATTATGCTAAAAAACTTTAGCATCATTGATTACCAATGTACAACTATACTATATACTTTACTATGCAGTAAATGGTAGTTTAAGTGAATTGCTATGAGCTGAGACCAGAGAGAGGCTAGAGAAAGACCAGAGAGAGACCAGAAAGGAAGACCAGAGAGAGGCTAGAGAAAGACCAGAGAGAGACCAGAAAGGAAGACCAGAGAGGGAGACCAACTCTTTTATTTCCAATGTATAGCCATGCTACTACTTTACTAAGCAGTATAGTTTAAGTGAACTGCTATTACTGGATTTTATATTTTTATCTTTCTTTTTAATGTACTGTGATTATTTATTATTTTAATGCTTTCTTATTTTGTTCAGCACTTTGAGTTGCCTTGTGTATGAATTTTGCATTACAAATAAACTTGCCTTGCCTTGCTATGAGCTAATTTATTAGGGACATTTATTGACATTTATGGACATTTATGGACAGTGGTCATCCCCCAATGGCTCCTATGTGTTTGTTATTATTGCATTTCCTAAATCAGATAAATTCATGAAGTATCCAGCATCAGAAACACAGCCGTCCGTCAAAACAAACAAATAAATACATAATTCTGAAAGTTAGTAACAATAATATATATACTATACTATATATATATATATATAGTCGTTTATGAGCCCCAGCTTCTGCCTTTTCCTTTTCCAAACCATGTGTACTTTTATGTCTTCTCGCCAAGTGGGTGAGACGGTCAGAATTGTTAGAAATGAGTAGATAAACTGAACTGAACTGAACTGATAGTGTATCTGATGTTCGTACACACAATGAACTTTCTAATCAGATAAGCCACTATATCTAGTTTAAATCCATGTTTAACTTTATGTCCTCTGCAATCATTTACTTTGCATTGATTTCCTCTGGACTTCTCACATGGCCGCACTTTACCGTTGCTTCTTTTGAATGTAAGAACAGAACCAGTTAAATGTTATTCTCTTAAAACTGTCTTATGGGACTGAATCCATGGTTGGACAGTGGTTCAAGGCCCATGAGATCCAGACGTCTGTGTTTTCTATATGAACTTCTAATTGTGACGTTCATGGAGTGGATTTGTTTGTATTCTTTAGACTGATCCTCTACTTTCTGACACAAGTGAACCAGAGAGCGACCAGAGAGACCAGAGAGAGACCAGAGAGCGACTAGAGAGAGACCAGAGAGAGACCAGAGAGAGACCAGAGAGAAGCCAGATAGAGAGAGACCAGAGAGAGACCAGAGAGACCAGAGAGAAGCCAGATAGAGAGAGACCAGAGAGAGACCAGAGAGAGACTAGAGAGTGAACAGAGAGAGACCAAAGAGAGACCAGAGAGAGACCAGAGAGAGACCAGAGAGAGACCAGAGAGAGACCAGAGAGAGACCAGAGAGACCAGAGAGAAACTGGAGTAGACTCTCTCTCTCTGATCCTCACTATTGTCATCACTCCAGAGAGAGACTAGAGAGAGACCAGAGACAAGAGAGACCAGAGAGAGACTGGAGTGAGGACCAGAGAGAGAGACCAGAGAGAGACCGGAGTGAGGACCTGGGAGAGTATAGAGAGAGATCAGAGAGTGACCAGAGAGAGACCAAAGAGAGACCAGAGAGAGAGACTAGAGAGAGACCAGAGAGAGAGAGAGGGACCAGAAAGAATGTCATAAACAATGAAACCCAATTGGTTGGTGAATACACAATACTCATACACTGCACAAAATGACACATTGAAGATTTTTTTCCACCATAACGACATATGAACCAACAAATATGTTTACAATTGTGCATATTGGACACAGTAACAACAAAACACATACATTACAGAGTATACATCAGTGACATTAGACAGAGGTAATGCAGTTATTGCAGACATTAGCAGGGATAGAGTTTGATTGAGCAGATGAAAGGGTGGAGAGTGGTGCAGGTGGCGCTCGTCCAACCTCTGGACTCTGGAAAAAGGAAAAGCAAAAAACATGGAGTGCTTGTAAATATTATGTGTATAAAGTGAAAGTGTGGTCAGGGGCTGCACCTTGGCTGTTCAGATGGACACATTCGTAGCTGGTGGATTGGTACCAGTTGTTGTAGTCAAAGGGCGTGCCGTCTTCCCATTTCCAGAAACCCTGAAAAATATACAGGGTTTTGATATTCACTAACAATAACAAGCTATTAGGAACAACTCCAAGCAATGAAATGTTTTATTTGGCTTGGAAAATGTTTGAACTATTTCTATGGAAGATATTCTGTGTTGTTAGATTTTGTATTTTAAAAGAGGTTGAATTTTTCTTTTTGACATTTTTCACCCCAAAAAAGCTTTTTAAAAATATTTTTGGCTTTGAATTTCAGTCACTAAAAATTCATTTTACAATTTTCAATGTGATTAAAATGTCAAGTTTACATATTTGCCTTAACATATTCAATGTAGTTTATATCCGATCAAATTCAATGCACTGTGATTTTGCAGGGAGAAAAAATATGGATCGTTTGTTTCATTAGATTTTAAATATAAAATGGACCTGAATTAATCTATTTGAATTTTTAACCATAAATCATGATAATCATAGATAATCTTATCTTATCATGAATATTTTTGTCTTCGAAGTTCCAATGAATTGATATATAATCAGACCCGTATTTCTGTGGGAAATTTCCTAATACACTTTGGCATCTCCTTTACAATCCTCCACATAAAATTATATTCCATTATGAAAATACTGAACTGGAGCCAAATAAATGTTGCACTTGCCTCCAGAGTTGATTTTAAAGAATAAATATTATGCATTATTTTTGGCCAGACGAATAAATGAGACTATTTACATTGTCATTTCATGTTTTAGAATTTAAAATAGTATCTAATGTAGAAAATATATGTATGAAGGGTGATGCTATCGACCTGCTCTACCCTGTGCCACCACCAGAGGGAGGTGTAGAATCTGTGTTATTACAGTAAAATTTGATATAAACAAGGCAATAACTGTTCAAATGAAACTTGAAGGGACTCAGTAATGGAAAACTATGGAAAACCAACATTTATATCTCAAAATTATTATAACTAGAGAGTTTGATTAATAATAATTTGGATGTAAACAGACCTGGAAGCGGTAACCTCCCATCCAGGCGGTGAGGAAGCCGGCTCTCCAGGTGAGCTGCTTCAGGAAGCTGTACTCTCCCAGGTCGTGAGCCGAGGCCAGACTCGCCCCCAGACTCTCACACATGGCCTGGAAACACAATACAAGTGTTGTGATGGTTCCATAGGTATCCAGTGACAAGAATACTACATTAATTGATCAATCAAAATGTATTTGTATAAAACAGTTCGTACAGAAAGTGCCTCACATTGACAACCTTCAAAATCAACAGTAAACAAACAAAAACACACTGTAAACCCAAAATTATTCACTTTTTAATGTCCGATACCGATCTCTATACTTTAAATGCAGCCTCGGTCCTCGTTCTACAGCCTGAGTCCTGGATCTACAGTCTGTCCGTCTGTGGGAGTGGATCTCTCTCTTTATGAGTTCTTACTTTTTTCCCACTGTTTTTTTGTTTGTTGAGTCGGTCCTTGTCGATGCAGGACGGTCTGAGGACAGCGGTGATCCGGGAATGTATGGATATTTAAATCACAAGTTTTCGATTTGCCAACAACAGATCAGAGAATCAAACAGTGCAAACACAGGAAATGCAATAATTCAGTTCATAAGATTGTTATGATTATTATGAGTGACAACAGATGTGTGTGTGTGTCTGTGTGTTTGTATCTCTCTCTGTGTGTCCATGTATGTGTGTGTATCTGTGTGTGTGTGTGTGTCTCTCACCGTTTCTTTCTCTATGTATGTGTGTATCTCTATCTCATTATGTCTCTTTCTCTCTCTTTCTGGGTAATTCTGTGTATATTTGTGTCTGTGTGTTTGTGTATAAGTGTGTCTTTGTGTATGTGTGTATCTCTATCTCTCTGTATGTGTGTATCTCTATCTCTTTATGTCTCTTTCTCTCTCTTTCTGTGTATGTATGTGTATGTGTTTGTGTATAAGTGTGTCTGTGTGTGAGTGTGTGTCTCTCACTCTCTCCCTTTCTCTCTGTATGTGTGTATCTCTATCTCTCGATATGTCTCTTTCTCTCTCTTTCTGTGTATGTGTCTGTGTATTTGTGTGTATGAGTATGTCTGTGTGTGTGTCCATCCATCCATCCATCCATTTTCTTCCGCTTTATCCGTTGCCGTGTCGCGGGGGCAGCAATCTAAGCAGAGACGCCCAGACTTCCCTATCCACACACACTTCCTCCAGCTCGTCCGGGGGGACCCCAAGGTGTTCCCAGGCCAGCTGAGAGACATAGTCCCTGGGTCTTCCCCGGGGCCTCCTCCCGGTGGGACGTGCCCGGAACACCTCCCCAGGAAGGCGTCCAGGAAGCATCCTGAACAGATGCCCGAGCCACCTCAACTGGTTCCTCTCGACGTGGAGAAGCAGCGGCTCTACTCCGAGCTCCTCCCGTGTGACCGAGCTCCTCACCCTATCTCTAAGGGAGCGCCCAGCCATTCTGCGGAGGAAGCTCATTTCGACCGCTTGTATCCGCGATCTCGTTCTTTCGGTCATTACCCAAAGCTTATGACCATAGGTGAGGGAGGGAACGAAGATTGACCGGTAAATTGAGAGCTTTGCCTTTCGGCTCAGCTCCCTCTTCACCACAACGGTCCGATACAGCGACCGCATCACTGCGCACGCTGCACCGATCCGCCTGTCAATCTCACGCTCCATCCTTCCCTCACTCGTGAACAAGACCCCGAGATACTTGAACTCCTCCACTTGAGGAAGGACCTCTCCACCCACCTGGAGAGGGCAAGGCACCTTTTTCCGGTCGAGCACCATGGCCTCGGATTTGGAGGTGCTGATTCTCATCCCAGCCGCTTCACACTCGGCTGCAAACCGTCCCAGTGCATGCTGCAGGTCCTGGTTCGTTGGAGCCAGCAGGACGACATCATCCGCAAAAAGTAGAGATGAAATCCTGTGGTCCCCGAACCGGACCCCCTCCGGCCCCTGGCTGCGCCTAGAAATTCTGTCCATAAATACAGTGAACAGAACCGGTGACAAAGGGCAGCCTTGGCGGAGGCCAACATGCACCGGGAACAGGTCTGACTTACTGCCGGCAATGCGAACACAGCTCTGACTCCGGTCATACAGGGACCGGACGGCCCTCAGCAGAGGACTCCGGACCCCGTACTCACGGAGGACCCCCCAAAGGACACCCCGGGGAACACGGTCGAACGCCTTCTCCAAATCCACAAAGCACATGTGGACAGGTTGGGCGAACTCCCATGAACCCTCGAGTATCCTATGGAGAGTATAGAGCTGGTCCAGTGTTCCGCGACCGGGACGAAAACCACACTGCTCCTCCTGGATCCGAGATTCGACCATCGGACGTAGCCTCCTCTCCAGTACCTTGGAGTAGACCTTACCGGGGAGGCTGAGGAGTGTGATCCCAGGATAATTGGAACACACCCTCCGGTCCCCCTTCTTGTAGAGAGGGACCACCACCCCGGTCTGCCACTCCATTGGCACCGCCCCCGATCGCCACGCGATGTTGCAGAGACGTGTCAGCCAAGACAGTCCTACAACATCCAGAGACTTTAGATAGTCAGGACGGATCTCATCCACTCCCGGCGCCTTGCCACCATGGAGGCTGCCAACCACCTTGGTGACCTCCGCCAGGGAGATGGATGCATCCACCCCAACATCCTCAGCCTCTGCCTCCTGGACGGAGGACGTGACGGGGGGATTGAGGAGAACCTCGAAGTATTCCTTCCACCGTCCGACAATATCCCCAGTCGAGGTCAGCAGCCCTCCACCCGCACCATACACAGTGTTGGCAAAGAACTGCTTCCCCCTCCTGAGGCGCCGGACGGTTTGCCAGAACCTCTTCGAGGCCGACCGATAGTCATACTCCATGGACTCTCCGAACTCCTCCCAGTCCCGGGTTTTTGCCTCTGCAACAGCCCGGGCCGCGGCACGCTTGGCCTGCCGGTACTGGACAGCTGCCTCCGGAGTCCCACGAACCATCATTGCTCGATAGGACTCCTTCTTCAGCCTGACGGCATCCCTTACTGCCGGTGTCCACCACCGGGTTCGGGGATTGCCGCCGGGACCAGCACCAGAGACCTTGCGACCACAGCTACGAGCCGCCGCATCGGCGATAGAGGAAGAGAACATGGTCCACTCGGACTCGATGTCCCCCTCCTCCGCCGGGACCTGGGAGAAACTCTCCCGGAGGTGTGAGTTGAAAGTCCGTCTGACAAGGGGCTCAGCGAGACGTTCCCAGCAAACCCTCACTATACGCTTGGGCCTGCCAGGTCTGACCGGCCTCCTGCCCTACCAGCGGATCCAACTCACGGCCAGGTGATGATCGGTTGACAGCTCCGCCCCTCTCTTCACCCGAGTGTCCGAGACACGCGGTCGAAGGTCAGATGATACAACAACAAAGTCGATCATCGACCTCCGGCCTAGGGTGTGTGTGTGTGTGTGTGTTAATGTGTGTATCTCTCTCTCTCTCTTTCTGTGTATGTGTGTCGTGTTAGTGTGTATAAGTGTCTTTTGTGTGTGTGTGTGTATATTAATAAATGTTCTTAAATGTCTTCCTTCCTTCCTGCATCAACAAGGAACCACTCAAAAACCCAGTGGGAGTCATTGGTCTAATAATAAAGTCCTTGATCACATTTGCAGACAGCGTTCTGGGACTTGAACCAGGGACCCTCTTACTGTGAGGCTGCAGTATTTACTCACGTCAGCGTTGTTCCAGGTGTAACTCAGGTTCATGAACATTAAACAGTTCTCCTTATACAGACGCCATCCCTGAGGGCAACTCGCCTTTGACCGAGCTGCGGCTGCTGGAGAAAAAACAAAAACAAGTTATTTTTATGTTTTTATGCGACAAACATGAAACTTGTGGCTTTGATTAACGACACAACAACAATATAAACCCATGACGTAATTTAATGATGCAACAGAAGTTAAAATATTTGGTTGGACTAGTTTTACATTGACACTTCCTTGGCTTAGTGTCAAAGATATTGGATGTTAATCAAACAGATATGCAGCAGCAAAACATTTTATATTATTTAGTTAAGTGTTGTCATAAATGCAAGCAAGTCCAATTGCTCCTATGTGAGATAAATAAAGCTTATCTTATCTTATCTTTAGCCCAATTTTATCATTTGAAAAGCCTTTTTAATCCTGGTGATTCAAAATATTTACCATCAACTTAGTAAATTTAGTATGAAAGGTCTGACAACAGCAGTACATTATCCTTGGCAAAACTTTAAAGTAGCGATATGTAAGATTGTCATGTCAAGTCATCATTAAAGGGCCCTAATCTGTCAAAAGGCATTGATAAAACATGCTCTTTTCAAATACTTCTTTAACTGATAACAGTAGTTCAGAGATATTTGGATTTCAAAATTAGTTTTACAGCCTCTAAATCTTGTTTTTGTTTTCATTTCGATGTCCCGCCCTCCACTGTTTCACCAATCAGAACGTCTGTGATCCGGGCGCCAGAACTTACCGCATCGGGGAATTCTCACTGGTAAAGTATGATTATGTGGTGCAGAACTAAAAAAAGGTCTTGTTTTGATTTTCCAATTATTATTAACAAAACAAGGCATAAAACCAGGATTTCTATCTTTGTGAAAATGGTGTTGGTTATAGATTTGTTGTTGATAAAACTCTTGTCTATTCAGCTGTTATGGTCCCAGCTGGATTCATCTGCATATCTGGCAACCTGAGTCAGGGAGAGTGGGAGAGGCTGCAGAACCACTTTTTGTCAGATTTTTACATACCGCTCCTTTAACTTTTTGCACGCTTAAAGCTGGGGTACCTAACTTAGAAACTGCAGAAGATGATAAGTATTACTATCCATTATACTGTAAGTAGTAGTATTATTATCACTAGTTTTCCCATGTATTTTGGCCTCTGTCACATCTTTTTCAGACAGAAAAGTGAAAAAGAAAGAACCACCCTCACTCAGCCAATCAGCTTTCAGCCCAAAGAGTCAAAAAGTGACTCTCAAGGCAAGTACACAAACAATAACATGTTTTGTAAAGAAAAGTTACATATTTTTAAATGCAACATTTTTTTAACAGTGATCATGGATTTCCAAATAGATAAAAATTGAGTGAATAAATATGATAAATACCGCGAGAAATGGAAGCGAGAGGTTGTTCATTTGACTGGAAATATGGAGCACCGTCTTCAGCTGTTTTTACTGTTTCTGAGGGATGTGTTTAGACTTGATATTAGCTAAGGCAAGTTTACTTGTATAGCACCGTCATACGCAAGGCAACTCAAAGTCCTTAACCAACAAAACAAGATAGACAAAATCACACACGGCAATAAAATCATAAATAATCACAGTACATTAAAAATTCTACAATTATACAGAATTGTTTTTACTCTGGATTTGAACTCTGTCAGAGAAGAAGCCTGTCTCACATTTTCAGGTAGTTTCAGGATTGTAGCAACAGATTTTTGGGATTATAGACATGAAAAATCTGTAATCTCACTTTGTACGTATTCTCCAGAGTCTCCCTCTTCTGTCAACACCTCTTCAGCTGGAACATAACCTGACACATAAGGATTTATAAGGAAAATTGGGGATTTCTTGTGTGTTTGATAAATAGTAAACGTAAAACATGGATCAGACCTGAGACACTGGACACCTCTTCTTCTGCAGTCGCTTCCACAGGGACAGCTACGACACATTATGAAGTTAGTAAAGTGTGTTGACAACAAATCATCATCCCTCTCTCAAAACACTGTCCCAAAATGTTATATACACATAACAAAAAGTGTCAAAAAGTAAGCAATGAAATATCTTGATTTGAGTCAATTTTTAGTCCTTTACTCTCTCTTAGGGTGAGACATATATTGCAATTCATCTTGGAATAAGATCATTTTGTTAAGGTTAGATTCTTATTGACAAATCTTGTTTTAAGAAAGTCAGAATGTATTAAAAACTAGATTAAAAAAACAATTTAAACAGGCCTTTATTAACTTAAACAACTGATATTATTTTTTAAAGGTAGTAACAAGCAGAAGCAATAGGTTCTGTGGTGATTGCAATTACATCACTGCTGTAGTGCCTTAATTACAATGTTTAGCTTCATTTCCTTGAACTAAAATCCTTGACTGTTTAAATATGGACAACGCTAACCCGCTAGCTCAATGACGCCCAACAGGGAAGTGCTCATGGACGAAGTTTTGCTCCAGCTCACTCTCTCTTACTGACTGTCATTGGGGGAAAAAAAGGCATTAGCAACTATCACAGCTCAAAGCTTTAGTCCGTCTTAACAAATGCCCATATAAGGAAATCATTCATTACTATGTTAAAATCATTTATTGATATAAACTTTTTTTTTTTCTTTTTGTTGCATTTTGTTGTGAATTTCTGCATATTTTTTCTGTTTATTTTTAACACTAGAACTTTCAGAACAGTTAATTTGACGGCTTTTAGTTTTGGAAGTGTAATTACTCAGCTCATGAAAATTTTTGATCTTCTTAAAAATGTGACTTTTTATGTTTCTTTATAATTATTGTTTATTTCTATGTCATTATTCTTTCATGAAATTATCTTTTAATTTTAAAATGGAGTAGAGAAACAGAGCAGAGCAAACGCTAGTAACCATAGCAACAAACTATCAACTGGCAACCGGTTAGCATTAGCATTAGCCTCTGTGTTTTCAGGTATATTCACCAGTTTTAACACTTATTTAAAAGTGATTAAAGGTACATTTGACTAAAACCGAGGGTCAAGTCAGACATTTTTCAGAATTGTATTGATTTGAATGGGAGCAGTGAGATAAAAATGTAAAAAATATTAATTGAAACAGTGAGTTAAAGTCATTGTAAATACCGTTGACTGGACCAACAGCGAGGAGCCCGCACAAAACGGAGAGAAGCAGCAAAGTCTTCATCTTCAAAGTTCTCTTATTGTGAGAGCTATCAGTATCACTACAGTTTTACAGCTACAGTCTGTGGAGTGAGTGCAGGCAGTGAGCTGAACGCGGGTTTTTATACCGAGCCTCTGCTGGTCACACCTCCCCTTATCGCCAAGAAAGAGTTATAAATGTCCACTTACCAGAACAACTTTATGACTTTTAAGACGTCAAGAAGTCGAGAAGTAAGTTGCCGCACCTGTGTTTGAGAAGCAGGGACGGACAGAGGAACACGTATTTTGTATATTATTACAACCTATTACCTTTTCAGATGTTACTGTAGAGATAGACACAGATTTAATCCATTCATAATTGTCCTCTGTATTATTATGTATAAGGAAAAACATAATAATTAATACTAACATGTATGTACATTGGTAGTGACCAGCACTTTGGACCAGTGTCTCAAATGTGTTTGTTTTTTATTTTTTTTATTCCTGTGTTCGAACAGTTTGATTCTCTTATCTGTTTTGTTGGAGTAATCGTAAATGTTTGTAAAGTTTTCTGAGACGACTGCTGTTGTGATTAAGGGCTACAATAAATTGAATTTTTGATTTTATTCTGTTTTTAGGTATTTATTGATGTCTCTGATTTGTGTGATATATGTGGGTTGTGAGGCGCTTTGAGTGGCCTTGTGTGGAAAGGCGCCATACAAATAAAGTTGATTGATTGAGTTGATTGATTGAATTGAATTGAATTTACGGACTCGGTAATCTTGTTCCCTATGGACCAATGGATCCTATGTGTTTGTTATTAGTGCTCGGACTACTTTACTTGTACTTAAATAAGGGATTGATTTCTACTTTCACTTTTATCTATAATATAATTCTTTTCCCACCTGTTTAGTGCTGAAAGGGTGTGTTATTAGAATATAATAACTTTATTGTATTTCATACCCAGTAGTTGCAACTACATACACATTCCAAGACAAGCACAAAGATTATGATAAACATTTTTTTTTAATGAATTTATACGTTATTATAACCAAGGGCCATGTCCACACAACAGTTGTAATAAGGCAGTTACATTGGGTGATTGGTTGAATAATACATTTAATATTTCTTACTAAAAACAAACCGTAATGTTTCGGCAACTTGGGGAAATTCAAATGTTTTGCCAATTACCTTTGAATTTCTATCAGTAGTTAATTGTATGATTCAAAAAGGCAAAGAACCGTCGTGAGCCGATCAATCAACCCTTCTGTATTAACAATGTTCTGATCAGTGACTGGGTGGTCCTCTCCCATCTCAAGTCCTTCATCTCCCCCCTCCTGGACCCCCTGCAGTTCACCACCTGGACTCCCCGGGGACCTACGCCAGGGTCCTGTTCGTGGACTTCAGCTCTGCCTTCAACACGATCCTGCCATCCCTGCTCCAGGACAAGCTCTCCCAGCTCAACGTGCCCGATTCCACCTGCAGGTGGATCACTGACTTCCTGATGGACAGGAAGCAGCGAGTGCGTCTGGGGAAGAATGTCTCGGACTCTGTGATTATAAATACAGGAGTCCCACAGGGCTGTGTTCTTTCTCCCCTGCTCTTCTCTCTGTACACCAACCACTGCACCTCCAGCCACGACTCCGTGAATCTGATCAAGTTCGCGGACGACACCACCCTCATTGGACTCATCTCCAACAACGATGAGTCCGCCTACAGGAGGGAGGTGGACCGGCTGGTGTCCTGGTGCAGTGGTAACAACCTGGAGCTGAACGCCCAGAAGACAGTGGAGATGATTGTGGACTTCAGGAAGAGCACTGTCCCCCCACCCCCACCCTCCGTGATGGACTCCCCCATCACCTCTGTGGAGTCCTTCCGTTTCCTGGGCACCACCATCACCAGGACCTCAAGTGGGAGCCGACCATCAGCTCCCTCATCAAGAAGGCCCAGCAGAGGATGTACTTCCTGCGGCAGCTCAGGAAAGCCAAGCTGCCTGCACAGATGTTGGTGCAGTTCTACACGGGCATCATCGAGTCCATCCTCACCTCCTCCATCACCTCCTCCATCACCTCCTCCATCACCTCCTCCATCCCCGTGTGGTTCGCTGGAGCCACAGTCAGGGACAAACAGAGACTACAGCGCATTGTGAGCTCTGCAGAGGAAGTGATCGGCCGCAGCCTTCCATCGCTGCAGGACCTGTACGTCGCCTGAGCTCGAGGCCGGGCTGGTCGTATCACAGCCGACCCCTCTCACCCTGCACATGGACTATTCCAACCACTCCCCTCTCACCTGCACATGGACTATTCCAACCACTCCCCTCAGGCAGGAGGCTGCGGTCCATCAGGACTAGAACCTCCCGCCACAAGAACGAGTTTCTTCCCCTCTGCTGTTGGACTCTTGAACACTTCTTAACCTGTCCCCCCGCCCTTTATAAAGTCACTTTACTGCCCATCATACGTCACTTTACTTCACTGTACTGCTGTCACCTTACATTGTGTGCACCATGTGCACTTGTATATTGTAAATAGTAACTGTAACTCTATTTTAAATTTAAATTTATTCCTTAGAAGTGTTTTTTTATTCTTTATTTTATTATCTCTTTCTGACTGTTGCACTGAGCCAAAGCAATTTCCAAGTCTGTGACTTCCTGTTACTTACGTGGCAATAAAAAGTATTCTGATTCTGATACTGAAGGTTGAAACGTGCTGGAAGTTTATCTTAATGACTCTGAAATTTACACCACAGTGATTGATCAGGATCAGGAAGTGTTTGTTGGCCTCTCCCACTTACAGAAACTCTGCTGTTATCTCTGTTTGAAAACCATAATTTTATGTCAAAGGAAAACTCCACACTCTCACAATGGATCAAGACTGGCTAAGATTCATACAAAAGACAACACAAAGCTTTAAGTTCAGGGTCAGACAGAAAGCATTCTAACCTTGTCAATAGTAGACTACGTTATAGTATCTTATATTCTCACTCTCGCAACAATAAACTCCAATGTATCATAAACAAAGCATCCGAGATCTCTGGTCACACTCTTCCATCTCTGGGCACACTCTACGATCGACACTCAGTCCAACATCTGGTCTCACTCCTGCCCTCCGGTAGGCGCTACAGGTCCATCTCTCGCAAATCAGTTCACCTCATAAACAGCTTCTTTCCCACTGCCATTCCGTTCCTCAACCAATCCCTGATGTGAATGTTCCTGTTGTTTTTTATGCATGTTTGCTTTATGTCTTCCATCAACTTGTTGTATGGTCATCAAAAAGCTTCATTTCCTTGAACTAAAATCCTTGACTGTTTAAATATGGACAACGCTAACCCGCGTAGCTCAATGACGCCCAACAGGGAAGTGCTCATGGACGAAGTTTTGCTCCAGCTCACTCTCTCTTACTGACTGTCATTGGGGGGAAAAAAAGGCATTTAGCCAACTATCACAGCTCAAAAGCTTTAGTCCGTCTTAACAAATGCCCATATAAGGAAATCATTCATTACTATGTTAAAATCATTTATTGATTATAAACTTTTTTTTTTCTTTTTGTTGCATTTTGTTGTGAATTTCTGGCATATTTTTTCTGTTTATTTTTAACACTAAGAACTTTCAGAACAGTTTATTTGACGGCTTTTAGTTTTGGGAAGTGTAATTAATCAGCTCATGAAAAATTTTTGATGCTTCTTAAAAATGTGACTTTTTATGTTTCTTTATAATTATTGTTTATTTCAAATGTCATTATTCTTTCATGAAATTATCTTTTAATTTTAAAATGGAGTAGGTACATTTGACTAAAACCGAGGGTCAAGTCAGACATTTTTCAGAATTGTATTGATTTGAATGGGAGCAGTGAGATAAAAAATGTAAAAAATATTAATTGAAACAGTGAGTTAAAGTCATTGTAAATACCGTTGACTGGACCAACAGCGAGGAGCCCGCACAAAACGGAGAGAAGCAGCAAAGTCTTCATCTTCAAAGTTCTCTTATTGTGAGAGCTATCAGTATCACTACAGTTTTACAGCTACAGTCTGTGGAGTGAGTGCAGGCAGTGAGCTGAACGCGGGTTTTTATTACCGAGCCTCTGCTGGTCACACCTCCCCTTATCGCCAAGAAAGAGTTATAAATGTCCACTTACCAGAACAACTTTATGACTTTTAAGACGTCAAGATGTCGAGAAGTAAGTTGCCGCACCTGTGTTTGAGAAGCAGGGACGGACAGAGGAACACGTATTTTGTATATTATTACAACCTATTACCTTTTCAGATGTTACTGTAGAGATAGACACAGATTTAATCCATTCATAATTGTCCTCTGTATTATTATGTATAAGGAAAAACATAATAATTAATACTAACATCTATGTACATTGGTAGTGACCAGCACTTTGGACCAGTGTCTCAAATGTGTTTGTTTTTTATTTTTTTTATTCCTGTGTTCGAACAGTTTGATTCTCTTATCTGTTTTGTTGGAGTAATCGTAAATGTTTGTAAAGTTTTCTGAGACGACTGCTGTTGTGATTAAGGGCTACAATAAATTGAATTTAATTGAATTTACGGATATATATATATCCGTAAATTCAATTAATATTATTGAATATTTATCGGTTATCTTGTTTCCTATGGACCAATGGATCCTATGTGTTTGTTATTAGTGCTCGGACTACTTTACTTGTACTTAAATAAGGGATTGATTTCTACTTTCACTTTTATCTATAATATAATTCTTTTCCCACCTGTTTAGTGCTGAAAGGGTGTGTTATTAGAATATAATAACTTTATTGTATTTCATACCCAGTAGTTGCAACTACATACACATTCCAAGACAAGCACAAAGATTATGATAAACATTTTTTTTTATGAATTTATACGTTATTATAACCAAGGGCCATGTCCACACAACAGTTGTAATAAGGCAGTTACATTGGGTGATTGGTTGAATAATACATTTAATATTTCTTACTAAAAACAAACCGTAATGTTTCGGCAACTTGGGGAAATTCAAATGTTTTGCCAATTACCTTTGAATTTCTATCAGTAGTTTATTGTATGATTCAAAAAGGCAAAGAACCGTCGTGAGCCGATCAATCAACCCTTCTGTATTAACAATGTTCTGATCAGTGACTGGGTGGTCCTCTCCCATCTCAAGTCCTTCATCTCCCCCCTCCTGGACCCCCTGCAGTTCACCACCTGGACTCCCCGGGGACCTACGCCAGGGTCCTGTTCGTGGACTTCAGCTCTGCCTTCAACACAATCCTGCCATCCCTGCTCCAGGACAAGCTCTCCCAGCTCAACGTGCCCGATTCCACCTGCAGGTGGATCACTGACTTCCTGATGGACAGGAAGCAGCGAGTGCGTCTGGGGAAGAATGTCTCGGACTCTGTGATTATAAATACAGGAGTCCCACAGGGCTGTGTTCTTTCTCCCCTGCTCTTCTCTCTGTACACCAACCACTGCACCTCCAGCCACGACTCCGTGAATCTGATCAAGTTCGCGGACGACACCACCCTCATTGGACTCATCTCCAACAACGATGAGTCCGCCTACAGGAGGGAGGTGGACCGGCTGGTGTCCTGGTGCAGTGGTAACAACCTGGAGCTGAACGCCCAGAAGACAGTGGAGATGATTGTGGACTTCAGGAAGAGCACTGTCCCCCCACCCCCACCCTCCGTGATGGACTCCCCCATCACCTCTGTGGAGTCCTTCCGTTTCCTGGGCACCACCATCACCCAGGACCTCAAGTGGGAGCCGACCATCAGCTCCCTCATCAAGAAGGCCCAGCAGAGGATGTACTTCCTGCGGCAGCTCAGGAAAGCCAAGCTGCCTGCACAGATGTTGGTGCAGTTCTACACGGCCATCATCGAGTCCATCCTCACCTCCTCCATCACCTCCTCCATCACCTCCTCCATCACCTCCTCCATCCCCGTGTGGTTCGCTGGAGCCACAGTCAGGGACAAACAGAGACTACAGCGCATTGTGAGCTCTGCAGAGGAAGTGATCGGCCGCAGCCTTCCATCGCTGCAGGACCTGTACGTCGCCTGAGCTCGAGGCCGGGCTGGTCGTATCACAGCCGACCCCTCTCACCCTGCACATGGACTATTCCAACCACTCCCCTCTCACCTGCACATGGACTATTCCAACCACTCCCCTCAGGCAGGAGGCTGCGGTCCATCAGGACTAGAACCTCCCGCCACAAGAACAGTTTCTTCCCCTCTGCTGTTGGACTCTTGAACACTTCTTAACCTGTCCCCCCGCCCTTTATAAAGTCACTTTACTGCCCATCATACGTCACTTTACTTCACTGTACTGCTGTCACCTTACATTGTGTGCACCATGTGCACTTGTATATTGTAAATAGTAACTGTAACTCTATTTTAAATTTAAATTTATTCCTTAGAAGTGTTTTTTATTCTTTATTTTATTATCTCTTTCTGACTGTTGCACTGAGCCAAAGCAATTTCCAAGTCTGTGACTTCCTGTTACTTACGTGGCAATAAAAAGTATTCTGATTCTGATACTGAAGGTTGAAACGTGCTGGAAGTTTATCTTAATGACTCTGAAATTTACACCACAGTGATTGATCAGGATCAGGAAGTGTTTGTTGGCCTCTCCCACTTACAGAAACTCTGCTGTTATCTCTGTTTGAAAACCATAATTTTATGTCAAAGGAAAACTCCACACTCTCACAATGGATCAAGACTGGCTAAGATTCATACAAAAGACAACACAAAGCTTTAAGTTCAGGGTCAGACAGAAAGCATTCTAACCTTGTCAATAGTAGACTACGTTATAGTATCTTATATTCTCACTCTCGCAACAATAAACTCCAATGTATCATAAACAAAGCATCCGAGATCTCTGGTCACACTCTTCCATCTCTGGGCACACTCTACGATCGACACTCAGTCCAACATCTGGTCTCACTCCTGCCCTCCGGTAGGCGCTACAGGTCCATCTCTCGCAAATCAGTTCACCTCATAAACAGCTTCTTTCCCACTGCCATTCCGTTCCTCAACCAATCCCTGATGTGAATGTTCCTGTTGTTTTTTATGCATGTTTGCTTTATGTCTTCCATCAACTTGTTGTATGGTCATCAAAAAAGCCAATATAATCCACTTTACTTTTAACACATTTTTTAAAACACGTTTCCCAAGTGCTGCACAGATCAAAGTAACACAAAGTAAAATATTCAAGTCTGCCAGGTTTAAATAAATATAGGATTCTGATTATTTACAAAACAAGAAAGGAAACCTTCAAATCATTCATAGATGTGCGGGGTTGTAGCAACACACCACTATTTTTTTTAACACTGTCACAGTATAGAAGCCTGGTCTATGTTTTCAGTGAGACATAGACCTAGTGTTGTCTCATTGTTGTGATAGGACACGTTGTTACTGCGTATTAATGGCAGCATGTAGAGAGTGAACAGAAGAGGTCCCAGGATCGACCCCTGTGGTACCCCACAGGTCAGGGCCATATGATCTGAGACACAATTTCCAAACTCAACAAAGTACTACCACTAATCTGATCTCAAAACCACAATGAGTAAGAGCAAAAGGATGCATGATTATGATGCAAAAAAACCTGAAAAACTTAATACTTAATACTTTCTGGAATCTTTTGTGGTATGACTCTAAGATTTTCACATCTGTCTTCATGGTGTAATAGTATTTTCAACAGGCACTATAATATTTCTTTGTGTATTGTGTTGAAAGTATGTCCCAGTCTCAGGTATTGCTTTAAATCTATGCATTAAAACTGGTTTCTTTTGTAATATTTTGTGGAGCTCTTACTGAAAATTAGGCTTTACTATTAACACCACAAATTGGTTCAACTTAAAAACCTTTATTGAACAAATGCAAGTCACAACATTGAGACAAATCTAAAGCAAAAATCCATAAGAGTCAGATACAATAATAACATCCTTCTTCATGTGTTCACACGTTAACAAGAGAATGCGCTCTTGGAGCAGATAAAGCGGTGAGATTTGTCACAGGAAGTGTTGACCCAGCCGCCTGAAGAAAAACAAACATTAGTATTGTGTTGATAAAGAATTAAAGAGAATATAAAGTGCTTTAGACTCACTGGTGCTCTGCAGGTAAACACAGGAGTAACTGGAACCAGAGTACTGAATGTGCCAGTACTGATAGTGCATGGCATATCCGTCGATCCACATCCAACGGTCCTAAACACAACAACACTTTGATTAGAAAGTCACAGATATGTTAATATTTCGATATTGTCAGATGTCTTCATGTTTGCTTACTTTAGCAAACATGTTAGCAACACGCCTTCCCTTGTTATGGTGTAAAGCTAACCCCTTCAGAACAAATACCCTTATAAGGGAATTGGCTCCAGCTAGCTTAAGTTAAAATGGGCTTCTTCCACATTCTGCAAGTCAATGATTTTCTTATATTTGAGTTGAGTTTGGCGCCTAAAGAGTTAATCCTCATTGTCTCATTATATAAAGTACATTAAATTAAAACAAATACAGGTGACTGGATCCTTGTGGTCTTACCTGGAGGTAGAAGCCCCCGATCCAAGCCTCGCTATGGCCGGTGGGCTGTATCATCTGCTGCATGAACTTGTAGTCTGAGGGGTTGAAGACTGAGGCCAGGTTAGCTCCCATCTGGCGGCAGTGCTCCTAACAAAGTTACACAACCAGGCTTTAAAGTCAGTCCTACACACCTGTGCCTCTGCAACTCAGCTTGTGCCACACCCCTCCTCCTCCACGTCACAACATTCGGAACATACTCTCAGCTGTTTGTGACTGACTCCTCACTTCAGAATCCAGTAACTTTACCCAACATGCCACGTCCCAATGATGTCACAAAGTATTGTATATGTTTGTGCCACTAAACAACATAAACTGAATAACCATAATCTATTACAGATTGGTAAAAACAATTGTATTTTCTATTTCTTTACGTAGAGTGGTGGTGGCATATGGAGTTGCTGTTATTCAATGCTTGTTTCATGCTTGCATGTTCTATCATTTCACATTCTTAAACATGAGACGACAAAGTCAATAGTCTTGTGTTTTTCTGTGGATGAGATGTAGATAACTTTACCTGAGCGTCGTACCAGCTCTTGGGAGCGTTGACAATCAGTGAGTAGCAGCGACCATTGTGAGAATACCAACCGACGGGACATGCGTTACGACCTGAAAGAGAGAGAGAGACCATAGAGAGACAGAGAGTGAGACCAGGGAGAGACCATAAAGAGACCAGAGAGACCAGAGAGACCAGAGAGCGAGAGAGTTTTATGATATTGGTATTTTCTAAGGAATGATTTACATAAGATTCAATCCTGTATTTTTACAGCTAAAATGACATAATGTTACCTTCAGGAGCATCTTCAGAAGCAGAATCTGTGAAACAAGAATAAACTATTTTACTAATTCAATTCCATTTATTTGTGTATAGACCTAAATCACAACAGTAGTTATCTTCAGAGGACTTTACAAAGCTGTCGATTCACCAACAACAGATCAGAGAATCAAAAACTCCCACTAATACGACTAAATCACTTTTTTATAAATATTTTGTAAATTTACCTGCGACAAGAGGCAGCTGTTCTTCAGGAGCTGCTTCTACAACACATTTTACAACAGTTACTAACACAGACCAGAGAGAGACCAAAGAGAGACCAGAGAGAGACTGGAGAGAGACAAGAGAGAGACCAGAAAGAGACCAGAGAGAGAGATCAGAGAGAGACTAGAGAGAGACCAGAGAGAGGCCAGAGAGAGAGAGAGAGACCAGAGAGAGAGATCAGAGAGAGACTAGAGACCAGACCAGAGAGAGCAGAGAGTGACCAGAGACCAGAGAGAGAGACCAGAGCGAGAGACACCAAAGTGAGAGACCAGAGAGAGACTAGAGAGACCAAAGAGAGAGACCAGAGAGGGACTAGAGAGAGAGAGAGAGAGACCGAGAGAGAGAGAAACTAGAGACCATCAAACAGCCAAAGCAAATCATGATTTTTCTTCTGAATGATCTCACACTAAATTGTTTTTAAATCATGAAACAAATGAAAGTAAAACAAAAAGTCAATTTATCTTCAACTTGACCTTTTCTCTGGGCCTACCTTGTAACGCCCTCCTCCTACCTCTAGGGGCAGCACTCACCAAAAGCCTGCAGGTCTTCAGTTTTCAGGTCTTCAGGCTTCAGGGGTTCAGTCTTCAGGTCTTCAGTTTTCAGGGGTTCAGTGTTAAGGTCTTCTGCTGGGGCTGTGCGGAACAGAGCATAAACAAAATTCAATGTGTTTCCAAGTTTCAGATAAAAAAGTGCAGAAATAGAGAGTTACCTGCAAAAGCCGCAGAGAAGAAGAGCAGAGAGAGGAGCACAGCAGTCTGCATTTTAAAGATCTGGAAACAAACAAGTGTTAGACTGAGCCAGGACTGAGCCAGGTCTGGACCAGGACTGAACCAGGACTGAACCAGGACCAGGTCTGAACCAGGACTGAGCCAGGACTGACCCTGGACTGAACCAAGACCAAACCAAACCCAAACCAGGGCCGAACTAGGTATTAGCCAGGACTGAACCAGGTCTAGACCAGGTCTGAACCAGGACTGAACCAGGTCTGGACTAGAACTGGATCTTCCCTTTGAGTAAATTAGGACTACTCACCTGGAGTCGGGTCTTCGGTTCGGTTCAGATCTGTCTGAAGCCTGGCGTTGTTGTCGTGGCAATGGAGGACTGTGTCTTATATACTCTCCTCTTCCTCAAAGTCTCATGTGTTTTATGGAAGTTCCAAAGTCAAAAGTCAAATATCAACGTGTATTTCTGATTAGACTTTTATTATTCTATAAATTATTTCTAACTTTTATCAGTGCAGTTGAGGTGACTGAGTTTCCATCTCAGAGTGATCTGCTTTTATATTCACTAAGTATAAAAATCCATCCAACCAGATTCTATTGCTGAAAAAAAATCGACCCATGTTGATTGATTGATTTTTGTGCTTTTATTCATTCTTGGGTTTCATTAAACTGGCCAGTAGGGGGCGAATGAGCAGAGATGGGACAACTCAGTTTTGCTCCCATTGAAAACCATGTAAAGTCTGTTTTGGAGTCAAAAGGCTCTCCTCCTGTGCGGTGTACGGTTTTTGGAACAGTCTTAATCGACACTCAATTCTAAGGGAGGACTGACAAATATTTCACAATATATTTCAGGCATTTTTGAACAAAAAAGACAGAAGGAATTACTGTATTTCATTGGGGTGGCCTGCAGGGGGCGCTCATCTGGGAAAGCCTTGATCCATCTCGCCCGCCTCATTCCAGTGATTTTTTCATAGTGTCCTCCTTTATCTGAGACCACAGTTGGAACACGGAAGAAACTCTTGTCTTTCTCTCTATTTGTGCGGTTGCTACAAGCGAACACCGCACAAACAGAAGGCATTTTGACAGTGCTTCTTCTTCTACTATATCTCAGAATCAGAATCAGAATAATTTTTATTGCCACGTAAGTAACAGGAAGTCACAGACTTGGAAATTGCTTTGGCTCAGTGCAACAGTCAGAAAGAGATAATAAAAATAAAGAATAAAAAACACTTCTAAGGAATATATTTAAATTTAAAATAGAGTTACAGTTACTATTTATCTATCTGTGTGTATAAACCCAGCAGACTGCACCGCCAGGATACGTCACATCCTGTTCTACGTTTGTTATTCGTGCCACTGCCCTGACGTCAAATGAAACCCAGAAACAGTTGTATATTGTTATGTTGCCTGGTTGGACGGATTTTTATACTTAAAAATCCATCCAACCAGATCTCTCTGAGATGGAAGCTCCGTCACATCAACTGCACAGATAAAAGTTAGAAATAATTTATGGAATAATAAGGAAGAAAGTCTAATCAGAAATACACGTTGATATTTGACTTTGACCTTCGACTTTTGAACTTCCATAAAACACATCAGACTTCGAGGAAGAGGAGAGTTTATAAGACACAGTCCTCCATCGCCACGACAACAACGTCAGACTTCAGACAGATCTGAACTGAACCGAAGACCCTACTCCAGGAAGGAAGATCCAGTTCTGGTTCAGTCCTGCTCCAGTGAGATCAGAGAGAGAGAGACCCGAGAGACCAGTCCAGGTCCACTCCTGGCTCAGTCTTGGCCCAGTCCTGGTTCAGTTCTGGTTCAGTCATGGTCCAGACCTGGCTCAGTCCTAGTTCCGTCCTGGCTTAGTCCTGGTTCAGACCTGGTCCAGACCTGGTTCAGACCTGGCTCAGTCCTGGTTTAGTCCTAGCTCAGTCCTAGTTCAGTCCTGGCTCAGTCCTGGTTAAGACCTGGTCCAGACCTGACGCAGACCTGGTCTCTGGTCAGTCATGGTTCACTCCTGGCTCAATCCCGGTCTAGTCCCAGCTCAGTCCAGGCCCAGTCCCGGCTCAGACCTGGCTCGGTCCTGGTCATGTCCTGGTTCAGTCCTGGTCCAGTCCTTATTTTTCAGTCTCTAACACTTGTTTGTGTTAGAGACTGAAAGGTAACTCTCTAACTTTTGCAGGTAACTCTCTATTTCTGCAATTAGAAAAAATAAAAGAAAAAGTTTCTTATTAAACCAGGAAAGACCCATTGAGATTAAGAACCTCTTTTTCAAGGGAGTCCTGGAGAATTTGATCTGAAACTAGAAAATAAGTTTTGCTTGTGCCTTGTTCTGCCCAGACCCAGTGGAAGACCTGAAGACTGACCTGGGTCCGTATGCCTAAAGATTCTGAGTCCTCTCAGAGAGCTCCTAACATAACCTGAAAACTTATAGCTAGGAGCCTTATCTTAAAAGTGATTCAAGAACATTCTCAGAGATCTCTGAGCAAAGAATTGACAAAAACTCTAATCTTAGTGGGGAGGCGTGGCCAAACCCGTTGTTAGGTGACTCCAAAGCTGGAGGAGTGGTTACAGCGGATCCCTGGAACAACCTCGGACATCTCGGTCCAGAAATGTGCAGTGCTAGGAACAGCAAAGATACTGCGCAGAACCCTCAAGCTCCCAGGCCTCTGGTAGAGGACCCGAGCTTAGAGAGGGATAACCGCCCACGGAGGGCCAAAGGTGTTTGTGTATACAGTATATATTATATTAATATAACATATTATACATGCACTGTACAAATCAAGTGCATATTATTGTGAATGTCACTGTTGCCATCTTTCTGGCGGCCGTAAGCTCCACCAAGAGAACTATGTAACCTGTTAAATCCTAAACCAGGAGAGGGATTTATTACTCCTATATCTCTAAATTCAATTAAACTTTATTTCAAACATTTCGATCCTGGGACCTCTTCTGTTCAATACATGCTGTTGTTCGTCAGTTAATTAACAATGTGTCTTATCACAACAAGGAGATGACACAGACAGACAGTAGGGTCTGTCTCACTGACTCCAGGAGAACATGGACCAGTGGACTCACTCCTTCACTCTCTCTCCACTCAGACTCTGACATAAGAGATGAGAGAACTTTTATTCATCCCACAGTGGGCACAAATACAGGACAGTAGTAAGAGCACACAAAATACACAATGCAGGTAGTTGTAATGCTTCTTAAATAGCTGTAAATGCTTCATAAGAGCAGCACAGGGACTGGTCTCCTGCCGGGTCCAGAGTCAGATTTATGCAGCTAAAATCTGAAAGTTTTCCTGCAAATGTGAGACAGGCTTAAGCTTCAACTGACAGATCTATGTCTGATATGAATGTTTCCTTTCTTGTTTGGTGAAGCTTTTGTTGCCTTGAATTGTGCGATCAAGTGAAACACGTCTTGATCCATTGTGAGAATGTTTTCCTTTGACATAAAAAGAAATACTATCATAAACACACACAACAGAAGATTTACAACAGTCAAAAAAGGTGGGGAAAGTACAAAATTATTGATTCAAGCATAGATAAGTAAATAAAGTATAGTATTCATTCTTATCCTCTTTGTTTGTCCATTTCTGGGTTGGTTGGTGGCAATCCGAGCTGCCTCCTAATTCTCAAAGCACCAGCCGAGGTCAAAGTCAATGTCAGGTAGGTGAAAAGCAAGGAGACGCAAAATGCAAAAACTGCAAAATGAAGATAATAAAAGTAATACAAATCAAGATCTAGCAAAAACACAGGGAGTGAGGACAGAACTAAAACAGACGAGGAATGACAAGGAACACACAGTAAATAAAAGACTGAGGAGACACAGGTGAGACACATGAGGGCGGGGCAGGTAGTCAAACAGGAAGCACGACCAAAGAAGACGCAGGGATAATACATTTCAAAATAAAACAGGAAATGAACCTAAACCATGACAGTCAAAGTACTGTGAATTCCCTTATTTAAAGTTGGTGAACCTTTGACTGTGAAATATGTTATGCCGTTAGAAGCATGTACAATAAATTAAAATTGACTTAAAATTTGTGTTTTCCAAATTGAACTTCTGTATCTTCTGTAAACACCAGGATTATAATATTAGATTTTTTAGCTTAAAAATCAACACAAACAGAGCAAGACGAGTTAATTTTTCAATGTAAGTCAGAAGGAGCCAGAGCAAGTTGGAGCAAAACTCTCGCTGTTGGGCTACATTAAGCTAGCAGGTTAGCATTGTCCATCTACAGTACAGACCAAAAGTTCGGACACACCTTCTCATTCAAAGAGTTTTTTATTTTCATGATTATGGAAATTGTAGATTCACACTGAAGGCCTCAGAACTATGAATGAAGTCATGTGGAATTAAAAAAAAGTATGAAACAACTAAAAATATGTTTTATATTCTAGGTTCTTCAAAGTAGCACCTTTTGCTCTGATTACTGCTTCACACACTCTTGACATTCTCTTGATGAGCTTCAAGAGGACCTGAAATGGTCTGAGTTCCTACAGATGCTCAGCACTTATTGGCCCTTTCCCCTTCACTCTGTGGTCCAGCCCCAAAACCATCTGGATTGGGTTCAGGTCCAAAACCATCTGGATTGGGTTCAGGTCCAAAACCATCTGGATTGGGTTCAGGTCCAAAACCATCTGGATTGGGTTCAGGTCCGGTGACTGGAGGCCGGGTCATCTGGCCCAGCACCCTCACTCAGCCTGGTGGTAATCTACAGTCAATAGTCATGAAAAGAAAGGGAATGAGAAAGTGTGTCCAAACTTTTGGTCTGTACTGTAGATACAGTCTTGTGGCTTTGGAGGGGTCAAATGCTGAAGTCAAAATAGTATAAATATATGTGTTGTGATACATATTGAAGTCACCATCATACAATACAAGTAACATCATTTTTTTGGTTTAACGCCAGAAATTCCGATACATGCCAAACACACCCATATTGATGGATTTTGCAATATTTGTTGTGTTTCTTTACTGTAACGTCTTTGTCATAAAGTCATAAAGTGGTTCTGGTAACTGCTCGTCACTCTTATCTGACAATCTGGGTGTGAGCTTTGAGTCTCAGTATAAATGTAGACTTCGGCTTCAGTCTCGCAGATGCAGCAGCAGCACCAGCAGTAGTAGTAGTACTTCGACATACAGTAGTAGCAAGCAATAGTATATCTCTCTGTTTATATTCGTAAACTCATATATCAGTTTTAAGATGAAGACTTTTCTGCTCCTCTCTCTTCTCTGCGGAGTCCTGGTCGCTTCTGCAGCTGATGGTAAAAATCTCTTTCTTTATTATGCTAAAGCTAACAATTTTATACTTGCTTCGTTATTATGCTAAAGCTAGAGATTTTATACTTGCTTATTTATTATGCAATTTTTTTTTTTAGATTTTATTCTATTTTAGTATAGCAATTATCTTGTGCTGTTTGCTGTAACTGGGGATGCAACACAGACATTTCCCCACTGTGGGACCAACAAAGAATCTCTTAAGCTACAATCATGTTATGCCTAATTTTTAAGTTGTTTTAAGTGTGAGAATTACAGATATAACAAGGGTCCACAGAACGAAATATGTAGGTTAATATTTACAGTCTATGGTTTGGTCCCACATCCTTTTAAAACCATGTGAAAACCATTTTGTTTATTTTCGGTGTCATTTCCAGCTGTTCCAGTGGAAGCAGCAGCGGTCCAGGAAGAAGAGTCCGAAGTCTCTGTTCCAGGTTTGTGGCATCTTAACACTGTATCTCATGCAATTATTTTTCCACAGAATGCATTCACAGCAAAAAATGATTAAATATGAGGTAATAATGGCTTGAATTGAGTGGTTTTTAAGTAATTGTTTAACACATTCTTACTCTGTTAAAACAAGATTCTCCAATGGGACAAAGTGATTTTGATTTATTTTCTCATTCCAAGGGAGACATTTCTTGTATCTGTTAAAAATAAGATAATTTTGCTTTGTCCCGATGGGAAATCTTGTGTAAAGGCAGTCAAAATGTGCAATTTTTGACTTATTTTTTTCATTTTTGTTGTGTTAAAACAATCTCACTTGTTGCCAATGACATAAATGCAGAATTACTGTATATCAGAAAAGCCACAGCCGGGGCCCCACCCTGGAGCCAGGCCTGGGGTCGGGGCTCGTATGCGAGCGCCTGGTGCCCGGGCCTTAGCCCACGGGGCCCGGCCGGGCTCAGCCCGAAGGGACGACGTGGGCAGTCCCTCCTGTGGGCCCACCACCTGCAGAGGGGTCCGTGGTGGCGCGGTATAAGAGGACTGGGCAGCAGTCGAAGGCGGAGACCTCGGCGACCCAGTCCACACACCCAACAAAATGAGTTTCCTCCGCAGAGTGGCTGGGCGCTCCCTTAGAGATAGGGTGAGGAGCTAGGTCACACGGGAGGAGCTCGGAGTAGAGCCGCTGCTACTCCACGTCGAGAGGAACCAGTTGAGGTGGCTCGGGCATCTGTTCCGGATGCCTCCTGGACGCCTCCCTGGGGAGGTGTTCCGGGCACGTCCCACTGGGAGGAGGCCCCGGGGAAGACCTAGGACACGCTGGAGGGACTATGTCTCTCTCTGGCCTGGGAACGCCTTGGGGTCCCCCCGGACGAGCTGGAGGAAGTGTGTGTGGATAGGGAAGTCTGGGCGTCTCTGCTTAGACTGCTGCCCCCGCGACCCGGCAACGGATGAAGCGGAGGAAAACGGACGGATGGACGGACAGAAAAGCCACTTAAAATTTCTAATACAGTGAAATTCAAGCTTTTTAGAACAATAACGAATAACTTAAAGACATATAGGAGGATTTTTTACTTCTGGGTGGATCCTCAAGACTATTGGTCCTCCCAACTGTCAATCATTCTGATGCTCGCCCAATAAGACCAGAGAGTTTTGTTCAAAAAGTGGAGAAGGCGGTTCTTTCCGAAAATTTGGGAAAATCCTCCTTAATTCTTGGACTAACTTTAACAAACTTGGCCTCTGTGGATCCGGTGTATTTCTAATGGAGATTGTCTTTATGATCTATAGGAATTGTAGCCTTAACAAACTGCTGCTCATTCAAAAGATTTTATCATTTATCTATATTTAATTTCATATATTTTTGTTCAGATGGAGGCGTCTTAACACAGGCAGAACCTGAAGCTCTGGGTAAGTTATTCAAATATGTGTTTCTTTCAATATGAAGCTTGCACAATTGTCTATTTGTAATTTTCCCTTATTAAGTTATTAAGAATCAATTCATTTTCCCGTATATATTTATAAAACATATATGTACTCGTTACTAGTTTTCTTGCTCTCAAAACTCATACACACTTTTAGTCCATTTCTCATAGCTAGAGACATCAGAATCTAATGTATTATTATGGAATCAGTTTTAAAATGTGTTCTCTTTTCCCGTTGAAGCTGATGAGGTTCTGACAGAAGTGGCTGAAGTAGAATCAGCTGCTCCTGGTAAGTTCTGGATCTACTTTGTTCTCCTCAAAAAACAACTTACAAAGGGACTAAAACAAATCTATTCTTTGTCCACAGAACCCATGAAAGCAGCTGTTAAAAGTGTCCCTTCTCTTTTGTCAAATTCGCGGCCTCCGTCTCCGGTTGTCCAGGGTAAGACTTTCAAAAACTACTCACAAATATGCGTTTTATTATTATTGCAAAACTATCCATTTTCCTGTGTCTGTTGTGAATAGCCCCGTTTCCACCAGCCTAATTTGGCTTGTCACTACCCCTACTCTACTCTACTCTACTCTACTCTACTCTACTCTACCCTACCCTACTCTACTCTACCCTACCCTACTCTACTCTACTCTACTCTACCCTACTCTACTCTACCCTACCCTACTCTACTCTACTCTACTCTACTCTACCCTACCCTACTCTACTCTACTCTACTCTACCCTACTCTACTCTACCCTACCCTACTCTACTCTACTCTACTCTACTCTACCCTACCCTATTCTACTCTACCCTACTCCACTCTATTCTACCCTATTCCACTCTACTCTACCCTACTCTACTCTACACTACCCTACTCTACCCTACTCCACTCTATTCTACCCTACTCCACTCTACTCTACCCTACTCTACTCCACTCTACTCTACCCTACTCTACTCTACACTACTCTACTCTACACTACCCTACTCTACCCTACTCCACTCTTACTCTACCCTACTCCACTCTTACTCTACCCTACTCTACTCCACTCTACTCTACCCTACTCTACTCCACTCTACTCTACCCTACTCTACTCTACTCTACCCTACTCTACCCTACTCTACCCTACTCCACTCTATTCTACCCTACTCTACTCTACTCTACTCTACCCTACCCTATTCTACTCTACTCTATTCTACCCTACTCCACTCTACTCTACCCTACTCTACTCTACTCTACTCTACCCTACTCTACTCTACTCTACCCTACTCTACCCTACCCTACTCTACACTACTCTACTCTACCCTACTCTACTCTACCCTACCCTACTCTACCCTAAGTAAGTAAGTAAGTAAGTAAGTAAACTTTATTTATATAGCGCCCTTCACAGACCAGGGTCACAAAGCGATTCACATAGTATAAAAACAGACATATAAATTAGACATACACATTTTTAAAGGCCAAGACAACCATGTAAAAGAATACAGCAAGACAAACTTACGCAAAAGCCTGAACAAATAAATGGGTTTAAAGTTGACTTTTGAAGCACTCAACAGACTCTATAGAGCGCAGAGAGAGCGGGAGAACGTTCCAAAGCTTGGGAGAAACAGCCTGGAAGGACCGGTCTCCTCTGGTCTTGAAGCGAGTGCGTGGAACCATCAGGAGGTTCTGATCCACAGACCTCAGAGCCCTGGCTGGGGTGTCAGGCTGGATCAGGTCACTGATGTAAGACGGGGCCTGACCGTGCAAAGTTCTGAAGGTTAAAACCAGAATTTTAAAATGTATCCTGTAGGACACTGGCCGCCAATGAAGAGCTTTAAGGACAGGGGTGATGTGTGACCACCTGCTGGTGCGGGTCAGGATTCTCGCTGCAGAGTTCTGCACTAACTGCAGGCGAGACAGTTCTTTCTTGTTTAAACATGAAAACAGAACATTGCAATAGTCTAAACGCGAAGACACAAATGCATGAATAATCACCTCCAAATCATTCTGTGAAACCATTTTCCTGACTTTGGAGATTCTCCTCAGCTGAAAAAAGCAGTTCCTGGTCAGCTGTTTACAGTGCTGCACTATGGACATGTCCTTATCAGAAATAACACCTAAGTTTGTGAGGCTCAGTTTAACTGACTGGCCTAAGTCACCTAGGCCCTGGTTTATCCCTGGGATGTGGTCATCAGGGGCAATCACCAGAGTTTCTGTTTTGTCAGCAAAATACCCTACCCTTATCTACTCTACCCTACTCTACTCTACTCTACTCTACTCTACTCTACTCTACTCTACTCTACTCTACTCTACCCTACCCTACTCTACCCTACCCTACCCTACTCTACTCTACTCTACTCTACCCTACTCTACTCTACTCTACCCTACTCTACTCTACCCTACTCTACTCTACCCTACTATACTCTACTATATCATACCCTACTCTACTCTACTCTACCCCACTATACTCTACTATATCATACCCTACTCTACTCTACTCTACTCTACTCTACTCTACTCTACCATACCGTATTCTACCCTACCCTAGTCCCAGGGACTACAGGTGGAAATTAGCATCTCTGCTATAACCTGGCACATGCATCTCTCCTTTTGTGTTAATGCTTAACTGTACACTGTCCCTGTTCAAATAAAGTACATACAATACAATACCCTACTCTACCATACCGTACTCTACCCTACCCAACTCTACTCTACTCTCCCCTACTATACCCTATCGTACTATACCCTTTACTTTACAAAGTTGTTTATTCCTCAACAACAGATCAGAGAATCAGTACAGTGGAAATGCTCCTAACTAGGTTAGAGTAGAGCCGAGTAGAGCCGATTAGAGTCGAGTAGGGCCAAGTAGGGCTGGTGGAAACAGGGCACTCTGCTGTCTGTGTGTCTGTGACTCACCCCAGTGTCTCTACAGCTGTAGCCAACACTAACTGCCCGGCCGGGTGGCGACAGTACAATGGCGCCTGTTACAACTTTGTGAACCTTTCCTACACCTGGAACAACGCAGACGTAAGTGACACAAATACTTTTATGAATTTACATTTGATCATATCTGGATTTGCAAAGATAATGTCAAAGTAGAAAGACCAGCATCACAGACAGACTTTAAAACAGATAGATTTAACGCCCAAAATGGTGAGTGTGCAGTTTCTCAGACATGAAGGAGTTTACTTTTCCATGGTATTAATGGAAGTTGGAGCTCAACTTTGTCCATGAGCACTTTCCTATTGGGCTAGCGGGTTAGCATTGGCCATCTACATACAGTATATGATGTTAGTTCAAGGAAATTAAGGGAATATAGGAGGATTTTCCCAAATTTAAGGATTGAACCGCCCTCTCCACTTTTTGAACTAAACTCTCTGGTCTTATTTGACGAGCCCGTATGACCAGAATGATTGACTATCAGGAGGACCAATAGTCTTGATGATCCACCCGGAGGTAGAAAAATCGTCCTATATACACCTTTAAGCTAAACATCGTCATTTAGCCACTAGCAAACATTTAATTTCACTCACCACAGAAAGTCTGAACTGGTTATAATCAGGGCCAGCCTTGTCGGAGTGGAAAACAAAAGAACTAGTCCTGAAATGGGAAGCGGCCAGAACCAGCGGCCATCTTGGTAAAATGTGAGTTATACAGTGGAAGGTTTAGCCCGGTTTACGTTTGTTAAGTTCTGTTTGGACCCGGTCTTGGTCCAAACTATTCCTGGAGATATTCCGAATGGTAAACATGGTGTCAGCTAGAGTTTGACGTGGAAGTTATTGGTCAGTGGGATAGTAATGGTTGTAGTAAGAATTTTCATTTAAAACGTTGCGCAAAATTAAACTATAAACGATGAACAAGATACAAAATAAAAATGATTAAAAAAAGACACAAAGTAAACAGAGAAACATAAAACATAAGAGGCTGGATGAAGCAGACGCAAATTTTTCTCAGTCAACACAACCCAACACACACACACGCATACACACACACACACACACAGGCCCAAACACTCTCTGACCCTACACCTCTCTCCCACTTCTCTCTCTGTGCTGAAATCCTCACTCCTCCACATACTTTTTGAGCAGATACAATTCTACCACACTAAGACATGAAAGAATAATGCACATTTTTATAAATCTGTCTAAACCTTTTTCTGTTTGCAGCTGTGTTTGTGATATCTTGTATATTGTCGTGTTTCCAGGCCATGTGTGAGAGTCTGGGGGCGAGTCTGGCCTCGGCTCACGACCTGGGAGAGTACAGCTTCCTGAAGCAGCTCACCTGGAGAGCCGGCTTCCTCACCGCCTGGATCGGAGGATACCGCTTCCAGGTCTGACATTTAAACAAGGAAATATATAGTTTTAACTAAGACAGATTTTTAAAAGTATTTCTAGATCCACACAACTTCTGAACACGGCAACATATGAATATCTCATCGATCTTTATTGTATTTATTTCAGGTTTTACACTGCAAAAACATGATCAAAAATATAATAATAATTGCTTGAATTGTTGCCAAATTTGAGCAATTTTTGACTTTTTTTTTCTTCATCATGTGAGTTTGAATTATTATAGTTATTATAATGTTTGTTAACAACTTATTAGGTGTTAATTATCATATACTTCATTGTTAATTAGCTCTTAGTTGGTATTTATTGAGCACTTATTAGTCCTTATTCAGCCTCTAACTACAACTAACACTTTCCTATGTGGGTTAGCATTAGAGTAAAATTCTTAGCACTTAATTAGCTTGTTTTTTTAGTGAGGGCTAATCAAATTTTTTTGCAGTTTAAGTAAATCAAACTACAAAAGCTACTGAAAGAAAAATATTTATCGAGAAATATATATTTTTTAATCCACACCAGATGTATTTCTCTATAAAAGAAGGTAAAAGAAGATTTTCCATTTTTTCTTTTCCCAAGTAAAAAACAATAGTCCTTCAGATAGTATTACAGATTCAGGGTTATTCTTGTAGTTAAAGTCCATCCATCCATCCATTTTCTACCCTTTAATCCATTTCTGGGGCAGGGGGGTGGCAGTCAGAGATGCCACCCAAGTCTCATAGCACCAGCCCCTCACTGACCCTCTGCAGGTGGTGAGTCCACAGGAGGACTGTAGTTAAAGTCAATACAAATAAAAATGTTTAACTAAAAATGTTTGCGGTGTAAAATCTCCTAATAGTTCAATACTATAGTGCCGATAGATCAATGAATTATCTATCTGTACTATACTCAGCTTGAATCTAGTCTTTATTTTCTATTCACATGTATTTATAAACTTGACCAGATAAATAAGACGTTGCATTTGTCTGTTTTTCAGGGTTTCTGGAAATGGGACGATGGTTCTGCCTTTAATTACAACAACTGGTTTTATCACACCAGCTCCAGTTACGACTGTGTCTTCCTCAACAGCCCTGGTAATGCTGTTTTCTGGATTGTTCCACAGTGTTTGAAAACCAGGACCGGTCCTAGTCTCCAGGGAGTTAAGCCATGTAGAGAAAAACCCAGAACTGTCATGAACTAAACCAAATGAGTCATCCATCCATCCTTCCATTTTCTTCCACTTTATCCGTTGCCGGGTCGCGGGGGCAGCAGTCTAAGCAGAGACGCCCAGACTTCCCTATCCACACACACTTCCTCCAGCTCGTCCGGGGGGACCCCAAGGCGTTCCCAGGCCAGCTGAGAGACATAGTCCCTCCAGCGTGTCCTAGGTCTTCCGCGGGGCCTCCTCCCGGTGGGACGTGCCCGGAACACCTCCCCAGGGAGGCGTCCAGGAGGCATCCAGAACAGATGCCCGAGCCACCTCAACTGGTTCCTCTTGACGTGGAGTAGCAGCGGCTCTACTCCGAGCTCCTCCCGTGTGACTGAGCTCCTCACCCTATCTCTAAGGGAGCGCCCAGCCACTCTGCGGAGGAAGGTCATTTCGACCGCTTGTATCCGCGATCTCGTTCTTTCGGTCATCACCCAAAGCTCATGACCATAGGTGAGGGAGGGAACGAAGATTGACCGGTAAATCGAGAGCTTTGCCTTTCGGCTCAGCTCCCTCTTTACCACAACGGTCCGATACAGAGACCGCATCACTGCGCACGCTGCACCGATCCGCCTGTCAATCTCACGCTCCATTCTTCCCTCACTCGTGAACAAGACCCCGAGATACTTGAACTCCTCCACTTGAGGAAGGACCTCTCCACCCACCTGAAGAGAGCAAGGCACCTTTTTCCGGTCGAGCACCATGGCCTCGGATTTGGAGGTGCTGATTCTCATCCCAGCCGCTTCACACTCGGCTGCAAACCGCCCCAGTGCATGCTGCAGGTCCTGGTTCGTTGGAGCCAACAGGACAACATCGTCCGCAAACAGCAGAGATGAAATCCTGTGGGGCCCCTCCGACCCCTGGCTGCGCCTAGAAATTCTGTCCATGAATACAGTGAACAGAACCGGTGACAAAGGGCAGCCTTGGCGGAAGCCAACATGCACCGGGAACAGGTCTGACTTACTGCCGGCAATGCAAACACAGCTCTGGCTCCGGTCATACAGGGATCGGATGGCCCTCAGCAGAGGACCCCGGGCCCCATAGTCACGGAGGACCCCCCAAAGGACACCCGGGGAACACGGTCGAACGCCTTCTCCAAATCCACAAAGGACATGTGGACAGGTTGGGCGAACTCCCATGAACCCTCGAGTATCCGATGGAGAGTATAGAGCTGGTCCAGTGTTCCGCGACCGGGACGAAAACCACACTGCTCCTCCTGGATCCGAGATTCGACCATCGGCCGTAACCTCCTCTCCAGTACCTTGGAGTAAACCTTACCAGGGTTGAGTCAATACTTATGAATTTAAGAGAAACATCCTGAATCTAAGTAATTATAAATCAGAGTAGAGTAGAGTAGAGTAGAGTAGAGTAGAGTAGAGTAGAGTAGAGTAGAGATCTGGTGGAAACAGGGCATTTGTGGTTCTCTTGTCAAATCTGGGCTACTGTGTAAAAGTAATTTTTCTTGTGAATCCGATTCAGATTCAGCGCAAGGGCATAAACACGTTACATACACATAAAACACAAGTCAAACAGTAACAAAAAAAACATTTGTCCAAAAAATCATTTCAATTCAATCTATTCTTGTATATGCCTAAAATCACAACAGTAGTTATCTAGTCACACAACACAAATTAGAGAAACAGACACAAGAAATGTAATGATAGAAAACACATCAAGGTATTGGTCCATAACATTCAGAGACCAATGTCCATAAATGTTCATAAATGCCCATGAATAAAAACCCAACATTATAATGAACCACTTTTCCCTGTGTCCAGAGTCCAGAGGTTGGTCGAGTGAGCGCTGCCACCTCCTGCACCCTTTCATCTGCTCCACCAGGTTCACTCACTGCTGAACGAGACCCACTGTGGCTGTGTTTTATTTTATATTTGTTATATTTAAATAAACTCTGTCGTTGATAAGATGTTGTTGATATGTCATTTATTTTACCAAGCAGCAGTAAAATGAATATTGATGCATTGACTGCAATGAAAAGAACAGTTGAAGTATTAGTTGTAGTTGTAGTAGAGGTAGCAGTAGTAGCAGTAGTAGCAGTAGTAGCAGTAGTGGTAGTAGTAGTGGTAGTAGTAGTGGTAGTAGTAGTAGTAGTAGTTTTAGCAGTAGTAGGAGTAGTAGTAGTTTTAGCAGAAGTAGCAGTAGTAGTAGTAGTAGTAGTAGTTTTAGCAGTAGTAGGAGTAGTAGTAGTTTTAGCAGAAGTAGTGGTAGTAGTTGTAGTAGTAGTAGTAGTGGTAGTAGTACTAGTAGTAGTAGTTGTAGTGGTAGTGGGAGTGGTAGGAGTAGTAGTTTTAGCAGTAGTAGTAGTAGTAGTAGTAGTTGTTGTAGTGGTAGTGGTAGTAGTAGTAGTAGTAGTAGTAGTAGTAGTAGTAGTTTTAGCAGTAGTAGTTGTAGTAGTAGTAGTAGTAGTAGTTTTAGTGGTAGTGGTAGTAGTTGTAGTAGTAGTAGTAGTTTTAGCAGTAGTAGTAGTAGTAGTAGTAGTTGTAGTAGTAGTAGTAGTAGTAGTTTTTGCAGTAGTAGTTGTAGTTGTAGTAGTAGTAGTAGTAGTAGTAGTAGTAGTAGTTGTAGTGGTAGTAGTAGCAGTAGTAGTAGTAGTAGTAGTAGTAGTAGTTTTAGCAGTAGTAGTTGTAGTGGTAGTGGTAGTGTTAGTAGTTGTAGTAGTAGTAGTAGTAGTAGTAGTAGTAGTTTTAGCAGTAGTAGTTGTAGTAGTGGTCTCTGGGTATTTTCAAAGGGGCTTAAATAAGTGCATTCTTTGCTAATTTCTTTTACTCAAATCTTGGTCCTATCAGTGATATCTTTAGGATTCAGCAGTTTTCCCAATTTGGCACAAATGAAAAATTCTTGGGTAGAGTTGGTAGAGCTTTGGTCTTTGGGGCTAATGGTCGTGGGTTCAATCCCTGCACAAGCTCCAACTACTCCCACTGCTGCCGTTGTGTCCCTGGGCTAGGCACTTAACCCCGCTCTGCCTGAAGCCCCCGCTGAAAGGGGATGAAAGTGATTGAATAACGCTTGTGGCTGTGACTTACATAAAGACTGTGGTAAGACCTGACAGCTCTGTTGTACTGGTCCAATGCCTTGTCGTGCTTTACCTCTTAAACTCCTACATCTGTTTTGGCTCGTGCACAAAAGTTTGGCATACCCAAATGTCTTTGCTTATTTAAAAACACATCTTACATCTCACATGCTTGTGTGATGCATCATTTTAAAGCTAGGCCCTTCTAGTTTATGTAAATATACACTGAAATAATGTATGTCATTCCTATTTTACTCTGCATCCTTTGAAGTTTGGGGAAAAAAACTGTTTTTATTAGCCTCGCCTAAAAAAATCAATGTATAAATGCCCTAAAAAAGCCTACTTCGTTGGAAGAAGAACATTTTCTAACAAGTCCCACCCATCAAAAGAAAGCTCTTTTTATTGGCTACTTAGACACGTCAATCATTCAGTGCTAGCACATGGCGAACTATCTGAATGACGTCACTAAGACACGCCCCCGCCGCCTGTCAACTCCTGCCCACATGTTTCGGACAAACACTGCCAAAATGAATCAAATACCACTTGTCACTTTAGACGAAAATGATAAACCAGGAGCAAAATTTCACCATCAAACCATCAGGGATCATAGTGTAGACCAATTAAAACGTTGGCTTGAATGTCGTGGTCTTCCAGTGGAAAGTTTGAATTGATAAAAAGGTAATGGTGAGGATTATGCTAACATTATCCTGTCATTTAAATTGCAATGCTAGCGCCTTCTTTGTTTGTTTTGCTGTGATTAACTTCCATTTATCAAGTTGTTTTTTGTACTGTCCACTTTGTAATTAGTTTGATCATTAGTTAGCTACTGTCAGCTGATATTATAATAGATCCATGGGGTCACAACGGACTACGCCACTACTGTCTCTGAGAGAAACTATCGAAGCTAGCCACACTCAGTAAACGCAAATGACCATCAATCAACACATTTAAATGTTAATGGGCGAATATATTATACATACATTCATAACACACGTGCACAGAGGTTTTCAGAATTATCTGTTCAGGTTTTCATGACAAAAATACTTTTTTAATGCAACTAAAGCGATCGCTTTTTTAAAGTAGGTGAACCAGCCTCACTGTTACTCGCCTGCCACGGGAAAACCTTTGGGAACTATTTTCTTTGCACTCATTAAATAAACCTTTCGGCATTAATAGTGAATGACGTTTATTTTGTGTGTTCAGTTGGTACAAAGCCGTATAATAAGCGACGCGCTTCGTCTGAACTTATTTTCCGATAGTCACAAAGTTGAAAAAATCCCTCTCATCTTTCTTCAGGTGTGAGAATTGTAAACTTTCTGGATTAGGACAAACAATACTAATATGGATTGATGGGGGTAAATGGTGTAAAGAGAAAGTTTGTGCTAACTACATTCAGAAGAGCTCAGACGGACTGATACAGCGGTCCAGGTCCAGATCCAGTCCCAGCTAAAGCCCAGCTAAAGCTAGGACTGGATCTGGAGGCTCCACAGTTGGTCCAGCGAAGTGTTTTGAAAAAACATGTGTCCTTTTTAACCTTTTCATGAGAGAAATTCTGCCGACCACAAGCACCCACCTCTTGCACTTGTCCTGGTCTGATCTGGTCCTGGTCTGGTCCTGGTCTGGTCCGATGTTGTGGTTTAACGAACGGGTTGAATGTTACTTTCATAGTCCTTTTCAGAGTATCTGAAATCGCCCCGACAAGCACCATAACTGCAGTGTTTGTGGAGAACACAGTAGTACTCAACGAGTCATACACAATGTTTGTCCGAAACATGCGCGCATACGCAGTCATCTGAGCTATTTTTAGCACATTTCGGAAACCGGACAGTGCCCTATTGCGCTAGCCATGCTAATCAACAACAAGGGAAAAACGGACCCCTCTGCAAGTGTATCCGGTTCGTCTTTTTCACAAGGGTCCTGCTCCTATCTTTTCATGGAACCTCTCTTTTTGAAGCTAAGGACTCAAGGATGTTTGTGGGGATAAACAAAGCTCAAACTTGGTGAAATGTGAAAGAGAAGCCTGAACATTTTTCGGAGCGTTTTTTTTGCAACAGAAAAATGCACATTTTTGGATTATTTCTGAATAACGGATTATACACTCTAAGAAGTGAAAGAGTGATGTTGTGCACTTTATGTGAAATGGTTGAAGTGAAATTAATGTGTTTCTTATGTTTCTACAGAAAACATATCAATATTGCATTGGTATAACACAAAAGCAACAGATTTCAGAGCTAAACAGTACATATGTTTAAAACCAACCTAACTCTTTCACGTAAACAAAACATGTACGCAATGACGCTGTGACGCAATGACGCAGACATGCGTAGTTGTCAAGGTTGCCAGATGGGCGGTTCCCCGCATACTTTTGTTCCAAGTATCTTGTAGTTAATTAATGGATAAAACGGCCATAAACAGTATCCTGATATTCTAAGTTGATTCCATAACTTTTTTTTTTTCGCAAAAATATCATTTTGGGTGGTTTTTTGTTGGGATTCTCGCGGGTTTTGGGCAGGAAAATCTTGCCGTATCTGGCAACCCTTGCAACCGAGAGCTTGCCACTGACCGCGAACAGAGTGAGAGCCATTTGAAAAGACACAACTGTGAGTGGTCAAAAATCCTCGTCATTTTGGTAAGTAAGACGCTTCTTTGACTATACAGCATGAAACGGTATGGTGTAATTTTCAATAGTGGTTGTGTCTTTTGTCGTTCATTTTGGAACATAGTCATTGCTAGACTATCGGAGGTTTTCCATGGTAATGTTGTATGATTTACTTATAACTAAACACATTATAATTTGATCTTGGGCATTCAAGGTAAACAGTGTTAGTTTCTCTTTTTTTCCAGTTGCGTCGATGCAACAGTGACTTGCCGACCATGCTTTCGCAATAATGGCGCTGCAAACACAGCAGCTGATAGCTGCTAACAGCTAACGCTAGCTTCTGCCACATGCGGAGCTCCCCACTAGTCCGGACTAGGCAAACCATGGTGATTGGGACATGCTCATTTTCCATTAAAGGGTCTTGTTATTTTGGTTTGTCTGCAGTTACTACAAAAAACATGATTAGTATGATGTAGGTGAATTGTAGAGGGACTACTACTTTAAATAAAAATGTAATTAATGAATCTGAAACTATTTCTAATGTCAGTCTCTGTTTTTCAGGTTTTCAATGTGGAGGTGCAAGGAGTGCCCTGAGACTCTACAAGGTATCTGTCTCTTAAACACTACAAATTGAAGCATTATCATTATGGATTAAGACACTATGCACATACTGTTGATCAATACTCCAACAAACTAATGAAGGTGTTCAAGAAGAAAGGAGGAGCAGCAGGACGCAAAATAACAGATTATGGTGGCCCTAGAAGAGGTGTGTTTTACATTGAAACCTTACTGGATAGTCATAAGTTTTACTTTCTATACAAACATAACAGAACATATTCTCATGAATAATCTGAGCATTATTAAAGCTGCACTAACTTACTTTATTTTTGTATTCATTACAAAAATGCTATCCATGTCCATGTAGTGCATTGGGATATACGTCCTTTTGAAGAAAAAGTAGTGCAGATTTGTGTTGGCGTGACATTATATTTTAGATCGAGTTTTGATGAAACAAGGAAGAGAATGTGTTTCGGGTCTCAGATTGTGACCAATCACAGCGCACCACTGGCCCCCACTTTCGTGAGAAATCTACAGGTCTGTTAGCACAGACAGCTGAGTTAGCACAACAAGCCGAGGAGCTAACCTGAAACTTTCTCGTCTTCGTCACCGGTTACTGCTTACACAGCGACACAGCCAAAAGAAAGTCTCGTTCCTCCGCACTTCCCGG